AGAGCTAGAAAGGTCGATGAGAGAGAAACATCGACCAGCTGCCTCTTGCACACCCCCTACCTGGGATGTGCCTGCAACCAATGAACATGCCCTTGACCGGAATCGAACCTGGGACCTTTCAGTCCGCAGACAGATGCTCTACCACTGAGCCAAACCGGTTTCGGCATCACAGAGTGTACTTTAAAAAAATATATATATTTTATTGATTTTTTTACAGAGAGGAAGAGAGAGGGATAGAAAGTTAGAAACATCGATGAGAATCATTGTTTAGCTGCCTCTTGCACACCCACTACTGGGGATGTGCCCGCAACCAAGGTACATGCCTTTGACCAGAATCGAACCTGGGACCTTTCAGTCTGCAGGCCGACACTCTATCCACTGAGCCAACCAGTTTCGGCCACAGAGTGTACTTTAAGAGCTGCTGCCTATGGATTCCTTCTTTCCGGCTCCCACTGTTTCTAGTGCTTCCTTTGTGGCACTCACCCTAAAGGACTGTCATCCCCTTTTTCATGTCTTCTCTATCACACTGGAAACACTTTGATCTCTATCTTATTTGCTTCTCTTTCCAGAACAGGACATTTCCTATCACAGGACCTGGGATATGCTAAGTAAATAATAGTGAATGAATTTAAAAAACTTTTGTTTTCCTGACTTTCCATTTGGTGTTGGGAAAACAGGGCTGAAGGAAAACAGTGTTCAGACATCTCTTCTGAACACTCCTTATGACGTCAATCTATATTGTCTCTCATGCCTAACCTCATGCTTATTGTTTATTTTTGTTAGTCACATGAGAAATACTTGATAAATGCTTATTGAACACAAGCTGTTCCCTGTTTGTTTCCTGCTCACATTTCTTCTGCTAGAGGCATTTGTGTGCATGTGTTTATATGTTGTGGGGGAATAGTTTAAGATCAATCTCTAAAGGTCTCTTTGAACAATGGGAGACAAAAGAAACCTTTCAAAAGCGAGGCCTTGGCTCAGAAATACTCTTCCCACAGTCTATCTGCAAGACATCTCTCTTTGGGAATTGGCTGGCCATGTCACAATATTCATCTATTCCATTTGGCTGTGGACTTGTCAGTGCGGCAGGGAATTATTATTTTTAGAGGAGGAAGAGAAACTCTACTTTGGCAACCAACTGCAGGCATAAAAATATTTATGTTTTATTTTTGTACACAGTTGCCTAATAGATTCATGATGTTAGCAAATGATGCTTTTGGAAAGAATCTTCATTAATTAGGACTTTAATATTTCAAGTACAGAGAATTTCCTTTTTAAAAAAAATTTTTTTTTATTGATTTTAGAGAGGAAGGGAGAGATAGAAACCTCAATGAGAGAATCATCGATTGGCCTCTTGCACTCCCCTACTGGGATTAAGCTCGAAACCTAGGCATGTGCCCTTGGCTGGAATCGAACCTGGGACCCTTTAGTCAGCAGGCTGACGCTCTTATTCACTGAGCCAAACCAGGTAGGGCTATATTTTCTATCTAATAAATTTAGAAGGAAATACAAAAGAAACAACTGACATCAGTAAAAATGGTTGCTCTCCAAAAATTCTCTCCTCAGTCCACAGACCAACGCTCTACCGCTGAGCCAAACCGGTTTCAGCTCCAAGGCCTCCTTTGCCTCACTTTTTCCTCCTAACATTTCTAGAAAGCCAACGCACCTCCACTTAGGTTCTCTCCTGTTGCTTCTATCCTAGGCCTTTCCTTGTTTCACTGTCCCCAACTTAAATAAGCTTACTTTCAAAACCAAAATCAATCAATCAACCAGAAAAGTCTAATCAAACCAACAGAAAAACAGACAAAAAGACATAAAGGGCAGTTCGTAAAGAAAAGAAATGATTGCTCAATATAGTAAATGAAAACAATGAAAATGGCCCTAACCTGTTTGGCTCAGTGGATAGAGTGTTGGCCTACGGACTGAAGGGTCACAGGTTCGATTCCAGTCAAGGGCACATTCCCAGTAGGCGGTGTGCAGGAGGCAACTGATCGATGTTTCTCTCTCACTGATGTTTCTCTTTATCCCTCTCCCTTCCTTTCTGTAAAAGTATCAATAAAAAACGTATTTAAAAAAAACACAATGAAATTTAATCATACCATTCATTTTTTCAGCTCATTAAGTTATCAAACAATATTTTAAGTGTTTATAGTCAAGGATCATAAGAGTTTAGGAAATAGACACTAAAGGTAGTGAAAACTGATATATCCTGGCAATTTGGCAGTTTGATAAAGGGATTTTAGTTATTCTAAGGAAATAATCAAATAGGTATGCAAGGATATAAGCATAAGAATGTTTATTGTAACATTTGTAGTTTCCAATACCAAAAATTTATAAGCAACCTTTATGTCCATCTGTAGAGGATTTTAAATTAATAAACAGTATGAAAATCCCTTACAATATAATACAGTCAATAAAAATATTGATTAATATGGTCTCAGTGACCATCATTTCCTGCTTGGATTACTCCCTGCCTTGTGACTCCCTCTCAATTCATTCTTTACACAGCTACCAACCCCAAATATAATTCTGTCTCTCCCCTGCAAATCCTAAACGGCCCTCTAAGGCTGGAGTCTCTTCTCTCTCCCTTCATCCCAGAACTGAACATGCTCCTCAGCTGGCTTTTGTGCAGTTGTTCTCCCTCAGGACTTAACGTCCATCCCGCACAGTCCTCTTCTCCCTTGGAGCTCTCACACGTTATTAAATGTTGCTTTTGCCATTGTTAACTATGTGTCTCTTCCATTAGAGTGTAAATCCCAAGAGGGCAAAAATTAGTTTAGCCACTGTTTTACCCATTGAACCTGCTATGGTGCCTAACATGCATGCTTGATGCATTCATTGAGTGATTGAATGAAAAGCAAGCTATAAATATATACTGTATTTCCGGCGTATAAGACGACCCCCCTAATTTCACAGTTAAAACATAGGTTTATGCCTATATTCGCTGTATAAGACTACCCCCCACTTCCGAGGCAACACCAGTTCTTTTTTTAATAGACCGCCTCTCTGACTCTGGCCAACCTGAGCAGGCTTTTTACTAGAACACAGTGTAGCTTCGGGTACAGAACACATATAATTTGCATGCATAAAAAGCCTGCTTGGATTGGCTGAGTTAGAGAGGCGGTCTATTAAAAAAAAGAACTGGTGTTGCCTCGGAAGTGGGGGGTAGTCTTATACAGCGAATATAGGTTTAAACCTATGTTTTAACTGTAAAATTAGGGGGTCGTCTTATACGCCGGAAAATACGGTAATGCATTCCGAGTCCAATTTGTTAAAAGAGGGACCTAAGACTCATATGGCCAGTAACAGACACAGAAATGGACTGCCTCCTGCAGGTTGGCGCTGGCCAGGTTTTTCCCAGAACAGAGGAAGGTGTGCCTCGGTTGGGCGGGAACTTGCTGGGAAGAGCAGAGCTGGGAGGGGAGTGCGGGAGAGCCTCTAGGGCTCCAGCCCCTTTAGCTCCAGGCAATGGAAGAGGCTGCCAGAGGGGAACAAGGGTGTTTCCTGTGGGCTCAGAAGCACAGGGATTGGGCAGCTGCAAGACTCACCTGGGGAGTTAGACTCAGAGCTGTGGGGAGATAGGCCTCAGGGTGCACACAGCCCGGGGGAGGACCATTAGGGATAGGGGAAGGGTGGGAGCAAAAGGACACCCCTCACCTAGCCCCACCCCACATGCCACTTCACGTGGGACCCTCTGAGGGTGGCTGCCCGCTGTGAGAGTGAGGGACAGTATCTGCATTTCTCTCAGTGGGCATTCTGTGGAGGCGGCATGGGGTGGGCAGCAATGCTGTTGCCTCCTCTTCTGTCAAAATTCTGACCTGGGTGGTTTATCGGCCACCTCAGGGCTTGGCTTCTATGTCAAATTCTTCTGCCCACTTGGTTCCTGAAGGAGGACGCCTGTCCTCCACATCACCACACCCACCCCAGATGGTGGTAGGCCAACTTTCTCTTCCTCCCTCTGAGGAGTGGGGTCTTCATTTCCCTCTCAGCTCCAGATTTAATGTTTGCTACTAAGAAGCCCACCATTCCTGGAAAAAGTCTCCTCAAACATCCCTCAAGAATCCGATAAACACATTCCAAACGAATGAATTCACCCATTTATTCAACTTTTCCCAAGTGCAAGACATTCTTTGGTGGAGTGTCTTGGAGGCCCTATTGTGAGGGAGAGGGGCAGAGATGTCCATAAGGCCTAGAAGGAGGTTTAAAGTCTAGGCTTTTAGAGTTGGGTAAAGAGGAGCTATTGAAGATTTCAGAGAGGCTACAACTGGCCTTAACTTGTGCAAAATCTTGGGAGTGAAACAGTGGACGGGGAGTCAGGCTGGCGGTGGTGCAGAAGTGATTAACAGGGGGCGGAGTAGCAGTAAGATTTAATGTTGAGTGGATGTAGGTTGAGCCAGGGGAGGTAGTGGCACTCCGTCAGCTGAGATGGGCTGGAGGAAGAGGAGGGAGCTTACACCTCGGGTGCTGAGGGAGGGAGCGGAGGAAAAGATTCGTATATGAGGGAGGGTGTTCAGTTGCTTCATTCTTGGGGCAGGTGACTGAGAAGGAAGACCATCACTCCTTATGCATCCCTGATACCTTGTTTGGAGAGGAGATTCCACCACCCTCTATAGCTTTTGTTTTGAGTCCAAGCTGAAGCCAGAGAAAAAATGAGGATAAAAAAAGAGAGGAGCCAAATATTGAAGCAAAGTCCATGGGCAGAAGGGACTAGAAGGCCTCTTTCAAGTAGCTCAGGCCTGGCAGCTTGTGCTGGGCTTGTGGTCGCTTCCCTCTCTCAAAGGCAAAATGACTCCGGGCCAAGCCGAGCACGCGTAGGGCTTGTGCGTCTGCGGGGCTGGGCCACCAGGGTCAACCTGCCGCCCACACTGCAGCTGCACACGGAGGCTGTGTGCTGGCTTTTTCTGAGCGCGTCAACTCACATCCTGCGCCAGCTGGTCCAGGCGCGATGTCTTGCCCCAGGCAAGGCGGAGAGACACTGCTGCCCACAGGAGGTAGCCGGCTCACTCCTCCCAGGGGCTCATGTCGGTGTCGATGGCCACACAGTTGTAAGCCGCGTAGCGGAGCTTCTCCTCGCAGACCTTGGCGCTGCCGGGCAGGGGTTTGTCAGGCCAGGTGAGAGGCCCCGTCACTACCGGGGGTGATGGGGCTCCAATTCCTACACTTCAGCACTCCATCCACCCTAGGGTGCCACCTTTCTCCCGCTCCCCACTCTGGGCTCGAACCTAGGAAACCCACCTGGCATACTGCGGTAGGAAGAGGGTGCTGGAGCAGGTGGAAGACTCGGGCAGCGCGTCTGTGGTCTCACAGCTGGAGGTTGGAGGGGCCAGAGTCAGGAAGGAGGTAGGGGCACAGGGCAGGGTCTGACGTGTATGGGGGGTTATGCTGGGCAGCAGGCTGGCCACAGCCCCCTCAGCCCTCCCTTCTGCACTCACCCCAGCTTGTCTGGGTAGATGTAGATACGTGCAGGCAGGCGGCTGCGGCCTGTGACAAAGCGGAGGAAGCGGCTCCGGTCCTCTGGATGGAGAAGGAAATCAGTGCCCGCACTTCCGGCCTGACTCCGTATCCCACAAGCGAGGTCGGACCCGGGCATTCCTCCGCCCCCTACTACTGACCATTGGTGAAGTTGTTCAGTGCCTCCCAGAAATACTGCACCCGCGTGTCAGACGGCTCGAAGTCCTCGAAGCGGGCTGGTGGTGACAAGGCCAGAATTCATTCTTGTGTCCCAACAGACATAACCCTTAAGCCCGACCTGGTGCTGCCCTGCCCTGCCCCACACTCACTGAGCTTGCGCAGAGCGTCCACAGTGACCTCTGGGTCCCCACACACCTTCTTCTCTAACTCTTGCCAGGTCAGCAAGTCCAGCACAGCCTGCGGCACCACCTTCAGCAGACCCGTCTGCATGGCTGCCACCTGGGGAGGGGGAAGGACTGGTTGGGGAAGAGGCACAACTCCCAGCTCAGTGTGTGGTGGAGCCACTTGGCCTGCACTCATGGAGACAATGGGGGACAGGGTCTTGGCTCAGCTCTGGGAATATCTCTGTATTCCACCGACCGGCGGGAATGTGGGGCAGAGGGAGGATGGGGGGTCAGAGTTCTTGGGATTGAGAACTGGCGGCCTATCAGGCTGGGGCCTGGGCTCTTGTCCAAAGCTCTCTGTTCTCCTGGCCTCGGGCGTACCTGTTCCTTGCTTTCTTCTAGCCGTGCCTTCTGTACCAGTTGGATGAAACGGGAACGGTCCTCATATTCCACCACGATGCTTGTACCACCAGGGATCAGCTCCACCACCTGCTGGTCACTCAGTACAGTGGTGAAGGTTAGCTCCTTCCCAAACTTGAACTCAAATGTCTCCTTGTCCATTCCTTCCATCACTTCCAGGAGCTTCACCTAGGGGTAGGAGAGAGGCAGGAAGGTCAGCTTTTCATTATGGAAACAGTTCTTCCTCAAGATGCTCACGGGGAAGCAGGACAGCCAGCCAGGCAAGGAAGTCCCCATGCAGGCCGTAAGAGAAGTGAGGGGATCAGCCAAGGGCTGTGAAAGTAACAAGACAACATGTAATCAGGCTTGGAGGGAAGGCATCCTGGAGGAAATGGCATCTATGCTGAGACCCAAAAGATGGCTAGGAATGGGCTGGGCCACCAGGAAGTCAGGAGAGAGAATACTGGAAAAAGGTGGAAGAACAAAAGGCTTAAGGAATCTGTTTGGCTGGAAACTGAATGTGAACCAAGTGGCCACATATACATGGGTCATGTAAGGTCTCTCTGGGTTTTGTATTTTATCCCAGAGCTGAGCCATCGAAGAGGTTAAGAGGGTGTGAAATAAAACACTCTGGCTGCTGGAGATCAGAAGGGTAAGAGTAGAAGGGACACTAGCCTTTAGAGTTAGTGGTTGGGTTAGAAGGGAAGGGGCCTGCACTGGAGGGTAGTAGTAAGATGGGAAAAGTAGAGATTCCAGAAGGAGGTGTGAGAGAATATGGGAGGTGAGGGAAGAAGAGTGAAGAATGAGCCTGAGGGCCTCAGCAGGGGAAGGGGTGGGTGGCAGTGCCGTTCTGAGAGAGGGAGCTCTCAGAGGGCGGTAGACTGGGGAGATGACGTGTGTGCTGAACTTGAGGTGCCATCATAGAGCAGACATCCAGCAGGCAGATGCATATATGGCCCAGGCTTCGGAGAGAAAGTAGGGTTAGAGGTGAAGATTTAGGAGTCACCAGACTGTAGAGAGTAATTGAGACAATGAGAGTAGATGGGGTTGGAGAGGGAGCATGTGTGTGGTAAGAGGTTCAGGACGGCCCTGGGGAGCAGCAACCTTCAGGGGCAGAGGAAACACGAGCTCCAAGCCCGACTCACCAGCACGGAGTCCACAGCTGGGAAGTCCTTGCTCCAGCTCACCTCCTCACCGGACAGCTGCTTCCACACAAAGCCAGGCAGAGCCAGGACCTGGGGGACAGATATTCATTAATGTCTTCTCATCCCGAGCTGCCCAGGTTCGGTTGGTCCTTCCTCCTTCCAGGGCCCAAGGCTGGGGTGCAGGTTAGGCTACTCACCAGGAACTCCTTACCCCGAAGGGCAGCCCCCATCAGCTGTCCAATCCACTCGTACTTGGCAAAGTCTCGGCAGGAGGGGTTGGGCACATACATGTCCCGGGCCTCACCTGTGCCATTGCCCTGCCCCCGAGACAGGGATGTCAGCATGGCACGGGGTGGACCTACTTTCTTGTCTGAGATTTCCCAAAGACTTCCCTGAACACCTTCCCTGGGGGCCCTGAATGATCCCTCTGAATGGATAATGGCTCCCCTTCCCTATCTGCCCAGAGGCTGTCCTGGGCAACTTGGACCCTCCTCTGCTCCCTCTCTAGCTCAGCCAGGTTCCGGGAAGGGTTGCAGAGACAAAGCAGCAGAAACAACTCGGGAGGTGAGGGTGCGAGTACCTGGTTGGCCGTGCGCACAAAGAAGGGCAGAGGCACGGGGGTGTCTGCCGAGCTAGGACACAGCTCTTCCGACATGTCTGCGAGGCTGTCCCGGAAGCCACCCCCTGAAATGAAAGAGAGATGCCCTCAGCTGGGGCACTCAGGAGCTCCAGCCCCAATGATGGAATAAAAGCAGGCCCCCAGGAGCCCCCAGGAGCTTCGGCCACTCTAACCGGGGCAGGGTGCTTATTCCTCCCTCAGGGCCTCACCTTGGTCAATAATGCCTTCGGCAATGAATTTACACTCCCACCACTGGTCATAGCGCATGGGCCACCTGCAAATGGGGGTGGACCTCTGTCATCATGCTGGGCCAGGGCTCAGGACGACTCACCAACCCCGACACCAGCCAGGAGGAGGGCTGCAGAGGGGCAATGGTGAGGGGTGCCAGAGGCAGTGTGAGGGTGTGTACGTGCACATTTGCTCTGAGTAAGCCATTCGGCCTCAGGCCATACCTGTAGTCCAGGGGCTTTTCATACTTGTCAGAGGGCTTGAGGCCTTCATAAACCTGGGGCAGGGGAAAGACAGGGAGTTGCAGGAGTCTGTGTCAAGACCTAGCCCCATTCTTGCCCAGAGACCTTACTCAGGTCCCTCTTTTTAAAAATATATTTTATCGATTTTTTACAGAGAGGAAGGGAGAGAGAGAGAGAGAGAGAGCTAGAAACATCGATGAGAGAGAAACATCGACCAGCTGCTTCTTGCACACCCCCTACCGGGGATGTGCCCGCAACCAAGGCACATGCCCTTGACCGGAATTGAACCCGGGACCCCTCAGTCCGCAGACCGACGCTCTACCACTGAGCCAAACCGGTTTTGGCTCAGGTCCCTCTTGACCCAGCCTCCTAAGCCCCTCACTGGCCCGCCCTCAGTACCACCCCAGGTAGTGCGGACCTGGGTGAAGACAGCGTTCTTGCAGGCGGGGTCCCTTAGAGGGCAGGCTCGGTGTTCCATGGCAAGGCGCCGGTTGATGTACAGGCGTGGCATGAAACTGGGCTTGCTGCTCTCTGAATCCCGCAGGCACTGGGCCACCAGGCTTGGCCGCTGGTGTGACAGCAGCAGGAACTGCTTCACTTGCTGGTGAGAAAGGCAACCAGAGCGGGACTGGTAGGCAGTCAGTCCCTGTCCAGGCCCTGGAACCTTCTGCTATGCCCGGACCCAGTTCCACCATTCCAGTCCAAGCCTAGTCCATCCCTGTCCATGCTTCTAGTCCCTCCCTTAGTCCAGCCACCAGGGGGAGCTTTCTACAACAGAAAAAAATCCAACTTCGTCTTAACTTACTTAAAGCCTTTCAATGGCTTCACAGCCTGGTCCACAGTGCCCTCTGCTACCAGAGCCTGCTTCCTGCCCGCTCCCTCCCAGCTCCTCCCCATGCTATAATCACAGCATCTAGATGCTGCTAGTATGCCTCTCAGTTCTTCTAAGAGTTGCTAGGAACTCCCAGGATACATCTCTTATGCAACCTGTTCTATCCATGCTGTCACCTTTCCGCCCACAGCGCTTGTGCATGTCACAGACTATCTGGGGAATAGCTTCAGAAATTCTAAATTTTGACTCTTTGAGTCTGGCTTTCTTCCTTCGTACCCAGAGCCCAAGCAAAGGTTTTTAAAAAACTCTCTGCTGAAGAACGAACGATTGCATGAGCAGAAAGGGGGAGCCCACTGCCGAGACCAGCACGGGGCGGGCTAGGCTCACCTTAATCTCACTGAAAGTGCCCAGCGTGTGGTCCCAGGCAGGTACCAGGTGGTGCAGGACGCTGTCTAGGATCTTTATGAATCTGGGGTGGGTGGGTAAAGGTAACTGCAGCTAAAGAGTTTGGCATGGATGTGAGACCCCCTCAATCCCCAACACACAGGTTACGGTAGCGGCCAGGGCCCAGGGGCTGCTCTGACGCTTGAAGTTGAACAGCTTATAGTATAAGATCTTGGACATAGACAGGATGGGGGAACGGAAGGGGAGGGCCTGGAGGCCCAGGGCCACAGCCACCTCTGCAGGAGAACAGCTCTGCGGTATAGGACTTCTGGGTCAGTGCCTTCCAGGCGTGGGTATCGCACCAGGCTGGCCGGCTGGAAAAGGTCTGCGTTCAACCCGAGCTCCCGCTGTCTAGATGACTTGATCTTGACCCCTCGAAGACGCACATCAATCCCGTCATCTGGGAGGAGACAGTGCGAGGTCACTTGCTGTGCCTGGTGCCTGCTTGGCTTTCAGTCCTGAGAATGTCTCCTTAACGCTCGGCCTTTTGCCACCTTTTGCCCCTAAAGACTTGGGACCTTTGAGATCCCCTTCTACTTAGCTGTTTCTGATTATTATATTCTTTGTTGGCTCCCCTCACCACCACTAAAACTGTGGGAAAGCCTGAGGGACCCATCTCAGTTCCTCTTCCAGGTGAGCCTTCAAGTCTCTACGGCTTTAAGGCAGGTCTAAGCCCTGGTACCTTCCACCAGGCTCAGGCCCCAAAATTTCAAATCCTGGAGTTAGTTCACTATCACTTTCATCTCAACTCTAAGCCCACCCCTTTCCCCACATTCACTTCCAGCTAGCCCCCATCTATGCAATGGGGCTCCTCTTCCCTCCTTCCAACCTTCAGCCCCACCTCGGCACTCCACAATGCGGATCTCAATGATGGGAAGGTGGACCGTCATATCCTCCAGGACACAGACATCCCCGATCAGAGTCCTGAGGAGACAGACGTTAGATACTTTGGGTACTCCTTGCCTTCAAGGATCTCTGGGATTTCACCCAACCTTCCAAGCTGGGCCGTCCCATGCTAGGATCATGCCCTTCCCTGCCCCCCAGGCCAGCCTGCTCACTCGTCAATGCTCACGTCACTCAGCTTCTTCAGGTTGTCCCCTTCGCCCCCATAGACCACCACCCTCTTGGGCATGAAGTTGTCATCTGTGGTATCAACTGTGAGTAGCAGCTTCCTAGGGGGTCGGAGGACACATGTGGGTCTCTGTACACTCACAGGCACGTGGCTCACCCACCCCGTCCTACTCAGAGCCCACTCACTTGACAATGGTGCCCTTTTTCATGGTAAGCCGCACCCAGTGCTGGCACTGGGATCCATCGCTCTCCCAGTAGGTGTCTGCATTGCTGTCTGTCAGGCAGGACACATTGAACTCCTCCTGGGGAGGGACAGAGAGGTGGAGTCAGTGTTTACCCCTGTTCCCTGCACTGGGAATGTGCTTTGGGTCAGGGAGGAGCGATGACACAGTGATCTGGGTTAAACGTGAAGCTGGTATGAGTGGACCTGTCTGGGTTCCTATAGGATTTCCCAGATGGGGGCTGCATGGAGTCTGGCCAATGGGGATTCAGGTTTAACGCTGGTCTAGAGGTGAGGGTTCTGGGTCAGAAAGATGTGAAGGCCTCTTACTTGGGGCGGGAGGCGGCCCAGCACCCACCGTGTAGGAGGAGACGTCTATGCTCTCCACATACTGCTTCACGCTCCCCAGGTTCTCATCCTCCTTGCCCAGGTGGTCGTACAGGAAGTGGATGAGGTCCTCGTCGCACTCGTAGGTCCACGTCGGGGGCACAAAGCTAAGCAATCCCAAGTCCTTCATTAGGGCGGGCCCAGGCCTGGGCTCCTCCTCCCAATCCCGCCTGCTCACTCACAGGAGCCTTTGGACAGCTTCCGTGTATGCCTCCGCGGGCTGGGGCTTCGCTCCCAGGCGATGGGAGTAGGTCAGGTCCACCACCTGTTCCCACCTGCGGGGTGGGAGGGGGAGGCATCAGCGCGCAGCAGGACAATTCTCCCCTCCCCCGCCCCCCCTCCCCAGGCCTGAACCTTCACCATGAGCTCCAGCTCCTGCAAACGACACCACCCCACCCCACCCTGTCCTTCAGGTCCCACCCCTTCCTGCTCTGAACCCGTCCTTCGCTCCGGTCCCACCTCAAGGGCGGTGCCAGACTACTTTCCAACTCTCCGGCCCGGCCCACCGCGGCCATCCCGCCCTGCCCCGCCTAGCGCAGCACCTGAGCAGCGGGCGGTAGTCCACGCCGAAGAGCTGCTGGCGCCGCTGGAGGTGGTCGGGGGTGTCGATGGGCACCAGGCGGGCCCCGCCCTCGGCCGGGCGGCACACCAGCAGCCAGCCTTCGTCCAGCCCGCAGTCGCCCAGGTGCTCGGCCAGCTGCTCCTGCCGGGAGACGTCCAGCGGGGGCAGGCGTCAGGGAGCTGCCCGGCCCCGGGCAAAGGGCACCGGACGCAGTGCCAGCTCGCTGCGGGGAGGGAGGGGGGGGCAGCCGGGGCCTCCCGGCTCCGGGGACCTCGGCGGGGCGCACCTTGGTCAGCTTCACCCAGAGCCCGTGGCCGTTGCACAGCTCCTCGCCGGTGGTGCGCACGCAGGAGCCGCGCCGCAGCTCGATGCTGCTGCGGGCGGCGCGGAGCGGCCCGGAGCCGGGCCCCGAGGCCGGGCCCGCCGCTCCCACGCGCAGCCCCAGGCCCTCCGCCTCCCACACGGGCAGCAGCACGCGCGGCGGGCCCGCGGGGTCCTTGTAGAGCTTGTAGAGCACCTCGCGCGGCACGAAGGCCAGCGCCGCGGGCAGCGGCCGCCCAGCGCGGAGGCTCTGCGCCGCCTCCGCCAGGAAGCGGATTCGGCCCAGCACCTGCCGCGGGGTCTCCAGCGCCGCGCCCGGGCCCGGGCCCGCCATGGCGAGGCGGCGGCGGAGGGCAGCCCGGGAGCGGAGCGGCGGCTCGGGAGCTACCGGCTCGGGAGCGGCGGCCCCGCTGGCTGACAGAGCTTCCCACTCCGCTCGCCCCGCCCCGCCGCGGCCGGCCTCCGCCGTAAGTTCCAGACTACGCGCGCCTGCAGGATTGCCCTCTAGATTCGGATTCTCAACCTTGTGTCTTCTGTGCCTCCCACTGAGCTAACGCGACCCAGTTCAATAGTTTCTACCTGACCAGCCCCCCCCCCCCCCCCCACTCCCCTTCGCTATCCCATTTTATCCTCACTGCCACCACCCGTATTCAGGCCAGCACTCTGTCCATCCTGGAGCATGGCAAACACCATTTTTCAGGTCCCCAGGCTTTCGTTTGGCCTCCTCACTAACGAGTCATATTACCACCGGAGGAGTCTTACATTTTCTAGGCATCCTCTCGGGCTCCCTGTCCCAGGGAGGGTGTGACGTGAGTGATTGGGGGGATAGCCTCCTCCCCAGCCCTGCCACTGGCGAGAGTCCTGAGTCACTGGGCCTGATCCTGGTTGTTGCCTTCGAACATCCATGTGAGAACGCAGCGCCCATTGGCTGCCTCCAGGATACCGACGGTCATTATCCAGTTTCTCGCAGTAATTCTGAACTAAGTGAGAGGAAAAGCTACACAGGAAGGGAGAAGGCAAAAAGGATGGGCAGGAGCTGTTGGTAAAGTGCAATCATGGAAGGAAAGGAAACTGCCCCCTCCCCCATTAAAAAAAAGTTTTCTTGCGGCCTGCAGACTAAAGGGTCCCAGGTTTGATTCCCACCAAGGGCACTTGCCTGGGTTGCGGCTCTATACCCCCCTCCCCCGCAGGAGGGGGCTGCAGGAGGCAGCCAATGATCCTCATCGATGTTTCTATCTCTCTCCCTCTCTGAAATCAATAAAAAATACATATATTAAAATTTTTTTTCTTGAAATATAATTCACATACCATTCAATTCACCTATTTGAACTATAAATTAAATCAGTTGGTTGAGCGTCGTCCCATGCACCGAAAGTTTGCTGGTAACCATGTCAGGGCACGAACCCAGCTTGTGGGTTCAATCCCAGTTGGGATGTGTATGGGAGGCAACTAATCGATGTTCACTTACATTGATGTCTCTCTTTTTCTAAAAATCAATAAAAGCATATTAAAAAAAACACATTGTGAGTGCTGATTTCTCTTTTCCCCCATCAGTCTGTAGCTCCTTAAAGGAAGGGGGTATCTTGTTCACCACTGTAACTTTTCGCACCTATTATAGACTCTTAGTTATATAAATAATGATTTACTTTTCCTGCACAGCTTGGTTCCATAATCCGCTGTAAGACCGTTAGGATCACGGACAGTGGGAGTGAAAGGGAGACTTAGGTTGAGTCTTCGGGATTCCTAGGCCTTCAAGGAGGGGAATTCCACAAGCCAAAGGGAAGGTGTAGTTTAGACTCTGGGGATAGAGGGTGGGGGGGTATTAGTTGCTGCGTGGTTACATTAGACTTTACGGTGAAGTGAGGTAAGAGGCCCTACCCACAGCCAGCATCTGATCATGTGACTGCCAACATGGCCACCGCCTTGGCTCAGTCCAGGAAGGGGCGGGGCCCGGGGAGGGGCCGGCTCAGACGCAGGTTAAAGTGGGACTGGCTCGCAGTTACTGACATCTTATCATGGAGGCGAACGGGTTGGGGTGAGTTCTCTGCTCCGCGCTCGGTGTGGCCAGCGAGGCTTTTAACTTCTGGCTGAGGAATCTGTCCGAATGCCCCCTTCCCCTGGAGAGTCCCCAGCCCGAACCCGAGCCTGGAATCCCGAGAATCCTCCAACCTTGGATTTCTGACACCCTGGGATTCCTGACACCATCCCAGGGTCCGCTGGACTGCGTTCCCAGACCTTCCTAGGGAATGCTCCCAGGACTTTCTAATCTTCAACTAGGACCCCTATTTCCGGACCGTCAACTCTGACCCCGTCTGGACTAGCTCCCAGATGCGGAACCAGCCCACTTATACTCCTCTGTTCCTGTGATTTCTGGTCCAGAGACCCTCAAACTATCCTTTCTGTTCTCCCTTCCCCCAGTCTTTCCAGTGGCTTTGAGCTTGGGGAAGCTGCGGCGGTGGGTAGGGTAGAGGCCCCAGCGCGGGCCCTTGTGGTCTTGTGCTCCACCTGATAGGCAGAGAGGAGGCAGAATGGGCCGGGAGCCACGGCTTGGGAGATGGTCTGGAGAAAGCAGATAACGGTGCCTTCAGGACCTGAGCCTTCCCCAACCTTCAGCCTCGCTTACTGACACCTACTCCTCTTCCCGCCCCTCGCTCCAGACCCCAGGGCTTTCCGGAGCTGAAGAATGACACATTTCTGCGAGCAGCCTGGGGGGAAGACACAGACTACACTCCGGTCTGGTGCATGCGGCAGGCAGGCCGCTACCTACCAGGTCAGGGGCAGGGCTAGAGTTTGGGTAAAACCCTGGAGAGCAAAAAGCTTTTGAGGTGCAGGGGAGGGCTCTTGAGGTTCCTCAAGGCTGAGCCCTGCCTCCCCTCTCCTGTCTACAGAGTTTAGGGAAACCCGGGCTGCCCAGGACTTTTTCAGCACCTGTCGATCCCCAGAGGCCTGCTGTGAACTGACGCTGCAGGTGAGGCGCCCACCAAAGAGGGAGGGATTTATGCCCTCAGCTCACCACGTAGCAACCTGTCTTCTGTTCCCTGTAGCCACTGCGTCGCTTCCCTCTGGATGCTGCCATCATCTTCTCCGACATCCTTGTTGTGCCTCAGGTACCTGCTCAAACCTGATTCTGGAATATGGACACTTATCCTCACTGGACAGTGGGGAAAAGTGAGGCTGGAAGAGATGGAGTTTGGCTGAGCTTTATTCTCCTCTTCCTCTTTCCTGGAATGAGCTGAACAAAGCCTTTCCTCCAGGTTGGAAACACAGATGTGTTCTCCCCTTCCAGGCCCTGGGCATGGAGGTGACCATGGTGCCTGGCAAAGGCCCCAGTTTCCCAGAACCACTGAGAGAGGAGCGGGATTTAGAGCGCCTGCGGGACCCAGCCGCAGCGGTCTCCGAGCTGACCTACGTATTCCAGGCCATCACCCTCACTCGACAGCGGCTGGCTGGACGTGTGCCCCTGATTGGCTTTGCGGGTGCCCCGGTAATGTGGAACAGGGCAGGTACTTGGGCCTGGGGAAAGCACTCTGGCAGGCCTGGTAATAGGCAAGGGGAAGGAAGTGTCAAACTTCTACACCTGTGCGTCCTCTCTGGCTCCCTTTGCAGTGGACTCTGATGACATACATGATTGAGGGCGGAGGCTCAAGCACCATGGCTCAGGCCAAGCGCTGGCTTTACCAGAGACCGAAGGCCAGTCACCAGCTGCTTCGCATCCTCACTGACGCTTTGGTACCATATCTGGTGGGACAAGTGGTTGCTGGTGCCCAGGTGAGTCCTGAGGGAGAAACAAGCAGGCTGAGGTTTAGTCCATAAGGACCAGAAGCAACATAGTTCCTTGTACCTGAGCAAGGGTAGGTGTCTTAATGCCAGGCAAGAAAGAAGCTTAGCTTGCGGTGATCTGGCTGGAGCAGCTAAGTCTATCCAACACTGGCAGGGGCAGGGGTGAGGGGGTGGGGGGACTTAATGTTTCATGTGTTCAAAGACCAAAGCTAGCGCTGGGATCTGGAGGAAAAGACATTTTTTTTTTTTGACTGGAACTGAGTTTTTAGGCTTAGGTAGTATCGGGGGTTGAGGTCACTTGGGGAGAATTGAGTTCGATTCTGTGTGTGGGGCCTGAAGTATTTCCTTTTGGTGTGTTAAGTATCTTCACCACTACCTAACCGTAGGCATTGCAGCTCTTTGAGTCCCATGCAGGGCATCTTGGCCCACAGCTCTTCAATAAGTTTGCACTGCCCTACATCCGTGATGTGGCCAAGCGAGTAAAGGCCATGCTGCAGGAGGCAGGCCTGGCACCAGTGCCCATGGTAAGAATGGGAATTGAGTGAAGGTGGGACTGGGACTTTCAGAATAAGTTCTGCATGGAATGAAGTGACCACTGGAGGGCAGCCGAGGTACAGCTGAGGTAGGTTAGTTGGCAAAGAAATCTGCCCTTCTGTCCCCACAGGCTCAGAAATCTGCCCTTCTGTCCCCACAGATTGTCTGCAGGCTCAGAAATCTGCCCTTCTGTCCCCACAGATTGTCTTTGCTAAGGATGGACATTTTGCTCTGGAGGAACTGGCTCAGGCTGGCTACGAGGTGGTTGGGCTTGACTGGACAGTGGCCCCTCAGAAAGCCCGGTAAGTAATGGAGGGTGAGGTATAGGGGGTGCAGCTGTCATATGTGTAGTCACCAGACATAGCATCAACTCTGCTTCCAGGGAACATGTGGGGAAGAACGTAACCCTGCAGGGCAATCTGGACCCCTGTGCCCTGTATGCACCTGAGGTAACAACCAGAGTCTTGTGTGTCTGTGAGTTTGTCTCTGAGTATTCTCATGGCTATAGACATGGTTGTATTCTTGTATTTTTATGTCTGTCTCTTCCCTCTACCCCATACACACCATGTGAACTCCAGGAAGGCGGGAATTTCTTTTCATTTTTGTGTTTATTTGTGTTTTCTTAGTGCCTGGCCCATCCTAGGCATCCAATAAATTTTTTTGAATTGACTGAATGAATAACTGAGTAGAATCGCCTACATATATGTGTGTCACTATTATGTATAGGGAGGACAAAGGCTTGCTGGCCCTCCCTGTGGCTAATGCCCTTTTGGTCCCCCAGGAGGAGATTGGGCGGCTGGTAAAGCAGATGCTGGATGACTTTGGGCCACAGCGCTACATTGCCAACCTGGGCCATGGACTCTACCCGGACATGGACCCAGAACATGTGGGGGCCTTTGTGGATGCCGTGCACAAATACTCACGTGTGCTTCGACAGAACTGAGCATACAGTTTTCCCCCTCAAGTACTACTAACACAGAAGATTGTTTCCAGGAGAATAAAAGTCCCAGAGTTGGAGTCTAACATGTGGTTTTGTTTGTGAAAGATATGTGCCCTTATCTTCAGTTCCTTCTTTGCTTCTGCTCCTTCTCGGGGGCCTCTGTCTACATCCTCTCCCAAAGTCATGGGAACTCAGATATAAGGGTGTGTACTGTAGGACTTAATGCTAGGTCTCTCCTCACCATCTTGACCTCAGATCTCCAGGCCCAGAGCTACACGGGTTTGGGAAGAGTTTCCTAACAGGTGGAGCTATGATACTTGCAGAGAAATAGGGTCCCCACCGCTTATGAGGTCAAGTTATGTCTGGGAAGAGAGGGGAATATAGATCAGAGAGGGGCACAGGACTGGCTGGAATACTTCAGAGAGGCCTATTAAGGAAGGTGGTGCCTACATAAGAAGGAAAAGATGAGAATCCTTCAGCTTGGATACCAAAAGATGGGAGGACATAAAAACTTAAAGCTAGGTTGCGTAGGGTTAGAGTTAGACTTACATCACTGAGGTGAGGGCCTCTGAAGACAAAAGTCCCTGTGTTACTCAGTGTTGCTCTGCATTCTTTTCTGAGCATACCCTCCAATTTTCTCAGGATCTTGGTGTTTCTGCTCATTATGATGGTACCTATTTCCTGGGACAAGGCTCTAAGCTCTTTGTGAGCTCTGGAGTAGGGTCTGGTGTGGCAGGCAATTCGTTTGTCCTCCACATCTTATACCGCTAGAAACCCACGGTACTATAGGCCAACCAGCTCCTTGTCCCAGCCAGGGCAAGGCAGAAAGAGAGAAGAGCCCCATTTACTGAGAAAACACAATTTCTGATTTTACAAAAATCTTTTCTCTGATCTATGATTTATTTATAGAAAAGCACTGAGTTCACATACTTGCTAAAAAATGCAATCGTGATACAGAAATGGGAGTGGCTTTTTTAAACCAACCTGATGGGCTGAGAGGTTGCAGGGCCCATGGCTGAACAGTAAGACTTCATTAGCCACAAATAGCAAATACAACTTACTGGTTAGTGTGAAGGGGGGGAAACAAACAGTTTCAAAGGAAAATAGAGCAGACAGGTCCTTAGTTCACACTCTAGCTATACCACCCTTCCTATCACACCCCATCCCTTACTCAGGAACTAAAACAACAGTAAACACCAAGACACTGGCATCCAAATGACTCTTTTGAATGCCCTTGCTACCTCCTAATTCTAGGCTGAGCATAGGGGCAAGAAGGTAGCAGGAATGTCATACATTGTGGAGGTCAGCCAGGGCTAACATAGGAGTTGCCCACTAGGACTACAAACTAGTCAGAAAGGGAAAGGCCAAGTGCATCCCAGCCCCAGCCTCCAAATCAGTAACCAATCGGGACTGACCAAAGCAGGCAGAGGAAGCTTGAGGTAGAGAGGCAGAGGAAGAAAGCAAGTACAGGGTGAGAAGAGAACTGGAGCTGAAGAAGCCACTCTTAAGATAGACTAGTGGTTAGAAGCTTGTTTGGTGAGAGAATAAAGGAGGCACAGAGATGAGGAACATGTTTGGTTGGTGAGAGAGACTAAGAGGAATTGGGAAGACATCTGGCAAAAAAAGAAGAGGCACATTCATGCAGATGCTCAAATATAAATTCACATACATACCTACATGTTGAAATATACACAATTACACACGTAAAGATGCATTAATGGAGAGCAAGCCTACACACAAACATGTTTATACACATGAACTCGTGTGCCCAGATACATACTAAGCATGTATCAACATGAACACACACACACAGATAAGTATTCCTACATGTTCACAAATGTGTATACTCTCACACAGAAACCCACAGTCCAGCACACAGACATGTATTCGCACAGATACACATATGTGCACATACAGGCATGCACAGATATATCTATGCATACAGGCATATGTACTTAGCCACACAGACACACACACACACACACACACACACACACACACACACACACACACACACTGAGAGATGAAACCAGACACTAACAACGGTGACCAGAGTAGATGAACAGTATGAACTCAGTGGCCTCCCAGACCTCCACCTGCTCCCTGATCCTATTTCTCAGGAGCTCAGCAGGCTCCTAGAAGCTGTGTGAGCAGAAGCAGGAGCTTCAGTGTCCTCATGGCTTCATGCAGCAAATCTAAGTTCAGTGCTGGCCCAGCCCCTTACTCACCATGCGGCTACAGCTACCCCTTCTGTAGGCTGCAGTTTCTGCATAGACAAGACTTGGGATTTATTCTAACTGGCCATTTTTCTCCCTGCCACTTGCACTCTTCCACTGCCAACAGTATATACTCTGCAACAGAAACCTGAGAAATGGTGTGAGTCTCCTCAGAAAACAAGTCTATCTTCCCACCCACAGCTATTTCAAGTACCCATGAAATTAGAACCAGAATTATAAATAGTTACAACTTTACAATGTAATTGGCAACACATAGACTATAATATTTACAGTACCATACATGCTTCTGTTTCTCTGGTTAAGCAATCCCTGAGATGGAACGGTGTTCTGTGTTTGCCAAGGGAGAGGGCCAATGCCCAGGACACACGCAGGATATAGGGGCGTGAGGTGGCATGTTGTAGAGTTTCTGATCAACCTGCAGGGCCCAGCTCCTCCAGGAACAGTGGGCTATCCTGAGAACCTTGCCAAGGCAGGTTCAGGCTAGAGTTGGACTCTCCCCATGCTTAGCCTGTGGTCCTTTGGTTCAGCCACAGGTGCTTAGGGTCCTCTCAGGGTGGACACATGTTTCAGTGCCCTTGGCCTGACCTGCTGGTAGCCCAGGCTGCCCCAGCAGTGGGCTGTCTGCTTTCTCAGCCAAAGCGCTCTCGCACCAGTAGCATCAGCTTCTTCTTGCCTTTGTAGATCTGTTTGAGGTTGTCGATGAATTGGGCAAACTGCAGGTGGCCATCCTGTGGCAGCAGGAAGGTCTCCCGAGCCTTGCTCAGAAACTCAATAAACTCTCCATAGTGACGAGGGCTGATGTGTGTCAGGCGTGAGTGTGTGGTGTTGATATAGGCATTGATGGTGGCATCCAGCAGCTGGCGCAGCGGAGCTTTGTCAGTGGACATGAGCTTTCCAGAGCTGCGGCGCCCGGGGATGCCGGCCAGGCCAGGTGCAGTCACGGTGCAGCGCCGCAGGATGTCCGAGAGCACCGTGGCACAGTGCACGCTCTTCACCACCAGGGGAATGAGGGCCGCCAGCTCATTCTTGCCCAGAGAGTGGCTGAGGGCACATGCCCAGAGCACATCATTGATGGCCGGATGGGTGTCCTGGTTGTAGGCTAAGTTGAGATGGCTCATGGCCAGTGAGGCCAGCTTGAAGGCACGTAGCGGGTAGCCACGGAGCTCCATGTAGCGGGCGATGGTGAACAGCTGAGAATGGGTCATGCCACCAGCGGCAGCATCAATGGCGATCTGGTAGGCTGCCTCAAAGGCGATGTGGTCTTTCTCACAGAGTGTAAGGGCTGATAGGGCACAGCCCTGTGGATCCTTCATAGCACACTGCAGGGCCAGTGTGCGAGCACAACTAGCCAGCTCCTCCCGCTGTGGATAGTCAAGACTGAGGCGCAGGATAGTGGTGTGGGATACGGCTGTGGCAGCCACGATGCTAGTAGCCTCGGTGGGGGTGAAGAGTGTGTACCAGCTCTGCAAGATGCTCACCAGGGCCCGCACACCTGTCAGGAAGAACATGAGCTCAGCTGTGGCTATCCGGTCCCAATCCACGTCTGCCTAGATTACCATTTGGGGTCAGAACTTGCCTGCAGAGATGAGTTTTCCCTTCTACTCAGCAGCCTTGAGATGATCTGAGGCAAACTAGGGCAAGGGGAGCATCCCGGATGGCCAGACCCTGCTTAGGGTCTCTTTCCATTCCTTCCTTCCCCTGGTCAGATGACTGAAGGTCTCATCACAAGGATGGAGCAGCAGAGCCCCAGATCTGCCTGGGGGTTCTAGCTGAAGTGGGGCTTCTCAGGGAAGAGTCTTATACTGGGGCTTTGGGCTCTAGATGGGTCCTAAGCTTCCAAGTTGGTTTGGGATTTTTCAGAAGTATGGATAGGAACTGGGACCAAATCACTGGGTCAACTATCTCACAAGGGTGCACTTGAGTACTGGCCTTTGACAATTATTCTCTCAGATGTCTCTGATCAGAGGAACAAAATGCTGCTGACATCAGGATATAGTCCAAACAGAGAGGTAGAACCTGGGTCAGCTGGGGCTGGCTGAGCAGAGGCCACCTTCTACCTGTGGCCCCATCCTTTTTTAGGTCATCAGTAATAGGAATATGAGAGCTCTAATGACTTGTTGTCCTGCCCCAAGAGTAGGGCCCAGGAACTCCTTTACCCTGGGGGTAGAGGGAGGTGGGAGACTCACCCACTTCTGTAGCACAGGTCACCAACCACCGCACCATCTCCCGGCGCCTCCAGTTAAGGGTTGATAAGGTCATTCTCATCACCTGGGCAAAAAGAGACATTTCCAGTGAATTAAGTATATGAAATTTCTCTCCCTATTTGCCATTTCTTCACGCAACAAGTATTTATTTGTGCTTCAAACAGTTATTGTTCCCTCGATAAATACATAGAGGCTTGTTTAATTTCAGCCCCCAAAAGGCTTCACTGATGACCTTTAACAAATAAAGTGCTTATTTACACTTTGCTTGACTTGGAGGAGTGTGAGTGGGTGGGAAGAAGACCTGGACCCTGGGGAGCCTAAAGCTATGTTGTTTCTGGACTTAACTTCAAAACAGAGCCCGATTTATAGACTTCTTACCTTGTGCCAAGGCTACAAGTTGTGTTCAGGGGACACAGAAAGAACCAGATTTGGCCTATGTTCAGTTCCCCTAAGATCTTATCTTCTGTTACTTGTCCCTGGGCCAGAAGACTAACGCTGGGAAGGCCCACTCCTCCATACCTGTAACCCCAGCTCCAGGGCCACGTTGAGTAGGGTGCTGTCAGTACTACTGTCTGTGGGAGTAGCAATCTTGAATGCATCTTGGGCCAGTTTGAAGATGAGGGAGGAAGAATGGATGTGCTTCTGTATTGCTTCCAGGATTGTTCGGAGCCTCAGAGTGTCTCCTATAGGTACCGAGAGAAGGATCGAGGATAGGGTTTTCTTTAGTTTCCCCAAATGGCCACTGATCACAGCAGGTACTGGTTGAACTAGCTGCTATCAATTCACTGAATGGTACCACCCCTTCTGGACAATCAAGCTCTGTCTCCACTGAACCCAACACTGGAGGCTGCTTTCTTCCCGAGGCACCCACATGTATTCACTTCTCTTTACCCTTTCATCTGCCTCTACCCCTCGCCCTCCTTTCCTTCAGGCTCTTTAGGTCTCAGAAATAATTTTCATAAAAACACGAATTTTGAGAGCTGCTTATACAGAAGACAGAAATATTATTGCTAAAAATGATATTGTTTGCCTCCCTGGAGCAAAAAGAAGCTGGGCTACCATTTCCTATTCAGTACGAGGGCACAGAGTTAAGGAATACTCCACAGGAAGGATATGTACACCATCAGAAGTACATTGCATGAAGGCAGTACGGTGTATGCAAGACTGGTACATCTTATAAAGGGGTAAAGTGTTAAATAAAGATGGAACAAAAAGTAGGTGTTATGTTTTACAAAGAGGAATAGTGGTAAAAATATATAGGCTTTGGAATAAAATACATTGGAAACTGAATCTAGTTCAGCCACTTATCAGCTCAGTTACTTCATCTATAAAATAAAAACAATAACCTTTTAGGGTTGTTGTGGGAATTAGAAACAATTTGCAAATAGGTAATATTCTATTCAACTTTTATTAAAAAAAAGATAAGTAACAGTGTGTGAATAGTGTATGTGTGTACAAACATATGAATAGAAAATGAATAGAATATTTATTTATTTTTAAATATAGTTTATTGAATTTTTACAGAGAGGAAGAGAGAGGGATAGAGAGCTAGAAACATCGATGAGAGAGAATCATTGACCAGCTGCCTCCTGCACACCCCACACTGGGGATGTGCCCGCAACCAAGGTACATGCCCCCGGAATCGAATCTGGGACCCTTCAGTCTGCAGGCCAACATTCCACCCACTGAGTCAAACCGGCTTCGGCTGAATAGAATATTTATATGACTGTCTTAGTGGTGGTTATCTTTGGGTGTCAGGATTACGGGAGAGATTACCTTTTTGCTTCTGTTAGCTCTAAAAACAATTTTTAAAAATATATATATTTTATTGATTTTTTTACAGAGAGGAAGGGAAAGGATATTGAGCTAAAAACATCGATGAAAGAGAATCATCAACCAGTTGCCTCCTGCACACCCCCTACTGGGGATGTGCCCGCACCAATGGACATGCCCTTGACCGGAATTGAACCTGGGACCTTTCAGTCCACAGACTGATGCTCTATCCATGGAGCCAAACCGGTTTCGGAAAAAAACCACACAATTTTTAAAATTAATAAAATTGAGCATGTAAAATGTTAATAATAGGGGAAACTGCAAGTGGGAAAATGGGGTACTAGTATATGGTAACTGTCTATATGCTCAATTTTATTCTTACATTAGTAACTAAAGTGGATAGTTTAAATTAGGGTCCATTGTGGTTGTACAGGTCTATGGTTTTTGACAAATGCATAGTTTCATGGATCCTCCATTACTGTATCATACAGAATAGATTCATTGCTCTAAAAATCTCCTATGCTACACCTTCCTATTCATTTCTCCTCATTCTTTCTGTGACTAGTTATCTTTTTACTGTCTCTATAGTTGTGCCAAGTAAAATGCCATGAACTTAGAATTATGGTATGTAACATTTTTATACTGACTTCCTTCCACACTTTTTGTAGCTTGATAAATCATTTCCTTTTATTGGTAAACTAGAGGCCTGGCGCATGAATTCGTGCATGGGAAGGGTCCCTAGGCCTGGCCAATATCAGGACTGATCAGTGTCTTCCGGCTGCCAGCTGGAGCCTTCCTTTATCTGCGCCGCCCCCTGTTGATCAGCAATCAAACTCCCAGTCTCCTGGTCAAACTCCCAAGGGGACACTTTGCATATTAGCCTTTTATATATAGAGATAATATTCCATTGTATGGATGTATCAGTTTATTTATCCATTCACTTTTTGAAGGACATCTTGGTTGCTTCTAGTCTTTGGCAATTACAAATAAAACTGCTGTAAACATTGTGTGCAAGTTTTTGTATAGACATAGATTTCCAAGTCCTTTTGGTAAATACCTTGGAGCACAATTATTTTTCTTTCATGGATTGTGTTTTTGGTATACTGTATCTAAAAAGTTATTATCAAACTCAAGGTCACCTAGATTTTCTATGTTATCTTCTGTAAGTTTTATAGTTTTGCATTTTGTTTTATGTCTATGATCCATTCTGAGTTAATTTTTATGGAAGATGTAAGTTCAATATCTGTATTTTTTTTTTTTTTTTTGCACATAGATGCCCAGTTTTTCCAGTACCAATTGTTGAAAAGACTATTCTTTACCCCTTTGTCAAAAGCCAATTGACTATATTTTTGTGGGTCTATTTCTGAGCTCTCTTTTGTCTCACTTACCTATTTGTCTGATATTTTGCCAATATCACACTGTCTTGATTACTATAGCTTTACAGAAAAGTCTTAAAGTTAGGTAGTTCTCAAACTTTGTTCTTCCTTAATACTGTGTTGGCTATTCTAGGTTTTATGCTTTTCCATATAAACTTCAGAAACAATTTATCAACATACACAAAATAACTTGCTGGGACTTTGGTTGAGACTTCATTGAATCTATAGATTAAGTTGGGAAGAACTAACATAAAAATAATATTGAGTCTTCCTCTCCATGGATATGAAATACCTACTTAGATCTTTGATTTCTTTCATCAAAGTTTTAAAGTTTTCCTCATAAATATTGTACATATATATTTTGTTAGATTTATTCTTAAGTACTTTTTTGGGGGTGCTAATGTAAATGGTATTGTGTGTTTTTTAAAAATGTTATTGATTTTAGAAGGAGAAAGGGAGAGAGGGAAAAAGAGAGAGAGAGAGAAAGAGACATTGATGGTTGCCTCTCAACTGGAAATCAAACCAGAGACCTTTCGACACTTGGGATGCCACTCAACCAACTGAGCCCACAGACCAGAGCTTGTGTGTTTTTTTGTTGTTTTTAAAGCATTTAAAAAATATATATTTTATTGATTTTTACAGAGGAAGGGAAAGGGATAAAGAGTTAGAAACATAGATGAGAGAGAAACATCAATCAACTGCCTCCTGCACACCCCCTACTGGGAATGTTGACCAGAATGGAACCTGGGACCCTTGAGTCTGTAGGCCAATGCTCTATCCACTGAGCCAAACTGGTTAGGGAAAGCATTTTTTAAATGGAAAAAAAAAATATATATATGTATATATATACATATATACATATACATACATACATATATACATATACATATATATATTCCCCCCCCCCCCATTGATTTCAGAGACAAAGGGAAAGGGAGAGATAGAAACATCAATGATGAGAGAGAACCACTGATCTGCTGTCTCCTGCACGCCCCTTACTAGGGACCAATTCTACAACCCGGGCCTGTGCCCTGACCAGGAATAAAGCCATGACCTCCTGGGTCACAGGCCAATGCTCAACCATTGAGCCGCAGTTGTTCATTGCTGGCATACAGGAAAGAACAGACCTTTGTATCTTAACCTTGTATCCTTGGTATAATCACTTCTTAGTTCCAGTTTACTGTTGAAATCTTTGAGGTTTTCTACCTAGACAATCATGTCATTTACAAGCAAAGACAGTTTTATTTCTTCCTTTCTAATCTGTATAGCTTTTATTTCCTTTCTTATCTTATTGCATTAGATTCAGTATGATGCTGAATGGGTTTGGTAAGAAGGACATTCTTGTCTCATACATGATTTTCAGGGGAAAGCACCTAGTTTTTCTCCATTAAGTATGATGGTAGCTACAGGTTCATTGTACATGTTCTTTCTTTTTTAATCCTCAGCAGAAGATATTCATCTATTGGTCAGCTCACAAACAGACCAGGGACAGGGATTGAACCTGCAAGCAAGGTATGTACCCTTGACTGAGAATCAAACCTGCAACCCTTTGGTCTGTGGGATAATGTTCTTATAACTACTGAGCAAAACCAGCAAGGTCATGTAGATGTTCTTTATAAAGCTGAGTCAGTCTGATCTAGTATTAGTTTGCTGAGAGTTTTTTTTTTTTAAAAACATGAATAGGTATTGGATTTTGTCAAATTATTTTCTTGTATCTACCAATATAAATTATATGCTCATTCATCTTTAGCCTGTGAATGTGATGAACTACTTTTATTTTCAAGTGCTTGAACCAGCATTCCATACTAAAATAAATCCCACTTGGTTATGGTGTATAATTATTTTTATATTTTGTTGGATCCAATTAGCTAATACATATTTTAAAATTAAAAATGTTTTTATTGATTTTTAAAGAAAGGAAAGGAGGAGAGAGAAACATAGTGAGAGTGGCACACCAATTCACTGCCTCCTGCGTGCCTCTTACTGGGGATCGAGCCCACAACCTGGGCATGTACCCTGACCAGGAATTGAACCAGCAATTTTTTGGTGCACTGGATGACACCCAACAGAGTTACACCAGCCTAGGCCAATTATCTACTATTTTAATGAAGATTTTTGCATTTATCTTTATGAGTGATATTGGTCTGTAGTTTTCCTTTCTTGTATTATGTTTATCTTATTTTGGTATTACAGTAATGCTGGCTTCACTGGATAACTTGAAGTATTCTCTCTGCTTCTATTTTCTGTAAGGGATTGTAGAGAATTGGTATCATTTTTCCCTTAAATATTTGATAACTCCTAGTGAACTCATCTGGGCCAAGTGCTTTCTGTTCAAAAGATAATTGAATCTATTGTTTTAACATAGATAGGTCAAAGCAGATTATTTAGTTCTATGTGTGTGTGTTTCTTTTAAAATAAATCTTTATTGTTCAGATTATTATAATTGTTCCTCTTTTATCCCTCCTTTGCTCCCCTCCCCCCACCCTCTGCCCTTTCCCCACCCCCACTGTCCTCATCCATAGATGTACAATTTTTATGCAGTCTCTTCCCGCACCCTCCCTCCCCTTTTCCCCGAGAATCATCACTCCCTTTCTATACCTCTGATTCTATTATATTCACGAGTTAATACTGTTCATCAGATTTTTAAATTCCCTTGGTTTTTAGATTCACTTGTTGATAGTTATGTAATGTTGTTTATAATTTTTATCTTTATCTTCTTCCTCTTCTTAAAGAATACTTTTCAGCATTTCATATAATTTTGGTTTGGCGATGATGAACTCCTTTAGCTTTTTTTTTATTTGTGAAGCTCTTTATCTGGCCTTCAATTCTGAGTGATATCTTTGCTGGGTAATCTTGGTTGTGGGTTCTTACTATTCATCACTTTGAATATTTCTTTGCCATTCCCGTCTGGTCTACATAGTTTCTATTGAGAAGTCAGCTGACAATCATATGGGTGCTCCCTTGTAGGTAACTGTTTTTCTCTTGCTGCTTTTAATATTCTCTCTTTGTCTTTTGCTCTTGGAATTTTAATTATGATGTGCCTTGGTGTGGTCCTCTTTGGATTCCTTTTGTTTGGGGTTCTGTGCGCTTCCTGGATTTGTAAGTCTATTTCTTTTACCAGGTGGGGGAAGTTTTCAGTCATAATTTCTTCAAATAGGTTTTCAGTGTCTTGCTCTCTCTCTTCTTCTGCCACTCCCATAATTCTGATGTTGGTACATTTGAAATTGTCCCATTATCTTCAACTTTACTTCTTACATTATCTTCAACTTTCTGGATTCTCTTCTCTTCTTGCTTCTCCAGAAGAGTGTCTTTTGCCTCTTTGTATTCCAAATCTTTGACTTGATTCTTGCGTCCTTCTGGTCTGCTGTTGGGTCTCTGTATAATATTTTTTATTTCAGTCAGTGTATGTTTAATTTCTAGTTGGTTTAATTTCTCTTTCATACCCTCGAGGGTCTCATTACATTTATCGGCCTTTTCTAGGAAATTCTTGAAAAACCTTATAACCGTGGTTTTGAACTCTTTGTCCAGTCTTTTGTTCTCCTCCATTTCTTTTGTTTGAGATCTCCTTCCTTTTCTCGGTATTTTTGCTGCTTATGCAAAAGCAGCTGTGTGGAGCCTGGGTAGGTTTGTACAATGTGTGGGGAGGGGCCCCAGGGTGGGGCGGGATCTCAGGATGTCACTAGGCTAGGGCATGGCTGCCATGAGCCGTCTCTGCCTTTCAGCATTTCCAAGTCTCTAAGCTCCAATGCAGTAAACAATGATTGCTGCGCGCACCTCTGCAAGAGAGTCACCCTCACTTTCGGACCCGATGGCTGACAGACCAGCTTCTCCCCATAGGCGTCTGAGTCCCCCCATGTAACCCCAGAAACTGGATTTCAAAGTGATCGGGAGTTTGTTTCCCTTCTGGTTGAAAAAAAGCTGCGCGCCCAGTCGCTCGCCACCAGCCCAATTCGTGTGCCTCCGTGACTAGGCTTTTCAGCGCTTGTGCTCCTTTCTCTTTCAGCCAGCTTTCCTGTGGTTTTGGGTGGACGTTTTGTTGTTTAGTTGTAGTTTTGAAAACCAGTTTGGCTCAGTGGAGAGAGCGTCGGCCTGTGGACTGAAAAGTCCTAGGTTCGATTCCAGTCAAGGGCATGTACATTGGTTGCAGGCACATCCCCAGTAGGGGTGTGCAGGAGGCAGCTGGTTGATGTGTCTCTCTCATAAATGTTTCTAGCTCTCTATCTTTCTCCCTTCCTCTCTGTAAAAAATCAATAAAATATATATATAAAAGAAATTGTTGTGTGAGGCGGCAGATTAGTTGCTCACCTACACTGCCATCTTGGTTTCTCCCTGTTTTATAGGTCTTGAACCTGAGGTTTGGAAAGGTGAAGTGCCTTTATCATATAGATGGATAGATTTAGAAGTTACCTTGAAGATGATCTCATTCTATGTACTCAGGATTCTATAAATAGTAAGTAGGGCAAACTTTGGACTGGACCCAGGTGCTCACTCTCATCGCAGCAATCAAAATGAGGATCCCTCATTCTAAGAGGTCAAAGGAAGATGAATGGCTTCTCTTCTTCAGGAGACTACAGTCCAAGCCCTTGACAGGGCCATGACCAGCTGGCATAGTGGGGATGCAGAAGCCTATGATCTATCTATGCTTACCTTTGGCAGCAGTCAGCATGGTGGAGGCCAGTTCACACTGCTGTGATTCCAAGTGTCCAAGTGTAAACCAACGAGGATAACGGCTGGGCACCACAGACACCATATGCTGAGGGTGGGAAGTGTCCCCGGTAGAATTTGAGTTTTCTAGAACAGGTAACCTGGAAGAACCAGAAAGAGTCAGTAGCCTTGCCATTTTGAGCCATCTTATAAATGCTTATCTTTGAAGTGAAGTAAATGAGCAAGAAAGGGTTAACTGAGAACTTTGAAGATTTAAAAATCTACCCTATACTCTATATGAGGTGAATGCCTAGACACTTGTAGAATTCAAGTTGAATAGTCACTGTGAATGGATCTTGAAAGACAGTTCAAAAGCCATAAGATTTTTTTTTAAATCCTCACACGAGGGTATTTTTCCATTGGCTTTTAGAGAGAGTGGAAGAGAGAGGGAAAGACAGAAATATCAATGTGAAAGAAATACATCAACTGGTTGCCTCCTGTATGATGTACCTTGGTTGCAGGGCCCAGGCCAGGGAGGAGCCTGCAACTGAGGTACGTGCCCTTGACCAGAATTGAACCTTGGATGTTTCGGTTCATAGGCTGATGCTCTATCCACTGAGCAAAACCAGCTAGGGCCATAGATTAATTTTTTATATTTATTTATTTATTTATTTATTTATTTATTTATTTATTTATTTATTTTTGCGGTGGATATTAAACCAGGAAGCTTTATATATACAGTAAAAGTAACAAGTGAATTCCTGAGACTAGAAGGCTCTAGTGCAAGGCAGCGTGGTCCGTGAGGGGTGGGGCGCAGCTGCGGGGTGGAGGTGGCCAGACCCCATGCCTGGGCACACGGGGACTCTGCTGGGCAAGGGCCTGGCCCACCCCCATATGCTCAGGCTGCCACCCTTCCTGGAATTTCCAGAAAACACGCCCCAGAAACAGACTCACCCTGTCACCAAGCCCTAGGACAACCCCCACACACTGACAACACAATTTGCTGGAGAGACTGTGCTAGAGGGTCAGGCTCCCAGTTCCCTCTGTGGCCTGTGACATAAGATTATTTTTAAAAGTATAAGAAATATATGCTAAGGAATCCTCAACAGTTCTTTCTGGTTGAGGTGAGATGCTCTCTCAACCTTATGGTCTAACTAAAATTCTGTATGGTCTGCTGCAGCCGTGAGGTCCACCTGCCTGAACCAAAGATCCTATTCTAGTTTGGGAAAAGGATGCTCATAGCTCATTGTTCTCAAGTTTAGTTTTAAAAAATCATTTCTACCTCCCTAGGTGTATCTGGTGGCCTATCCTTGGGAACCATGACTCAGTTGAGCTATGGAAAGACTCAAACCCCTTCTAAGGCTGCTTAAATGGCCCCAGAACTGGAAGATTCAGGCCATGGGTGCTCCACATCTATTAAAAAATCAGGGGCTTCCTCAGATGACCCACTAAGAGTAGAGCCAGGGGCCAAGTGGGTCACTAGCAAGACATCCCAGATAGGAATTCTTGATCATATGGAAATATCTAAGCCATGTTAGGGCAGGCTTGGTGGCAGGTCCAATAGAATAGATACAAAAGGAAAGTGATAAAAGTGAGATAAACAAAGAAAAAGAGCACCTAAGACTTCTACTTTGGCAGAGACAACTGGGCAAGGAAACATTTACCCACCTCATGGCACGTAAGGCTAATTTATAGGACAGGTCTGGATCATGAGGCAGAAGAGCTGAGAACAAATACTTGGCAAAGGTATGCATGGGAACACTCTCTCGGTGAATGACTTCTCCCAGACCACTGAAGGGGCCTCCTGCAGGAAGAAGATAAGCCAACCAGTTACTTATCTGTATGCTTCTATTTGCCAGCCTAGTCTTAAACCCTAGGGCCCCACACATGTTTGCTAGCCATGGGAACCTTCAGTATACTTTAATGCCAAAAATGTTTCTGTACTTGTGCTATATAATAGAGCACCTAGAGTCACGGGTAAAAGACTATAGCCTCTTCTCTCCTTACCTTCTAGCAGTAAGAGGCACTGTTTCTGTAGAGTTTGCACCAGTTCATCATCCAGCTGAAGCTCCTGGAGTCGACTCAGGAGCTGCTCCTCATTGCGGCACATCTTGTCCTGTGCGTAGAGGCCTTCAGGCATCACCCTCTGTTGACCCAGCCCCAGCAGAGCCACTTCCAAGGCCAATGACAGGTAAGACTCACTGCTGTTTGGGCAGCCTGCTGCCATGGGTACATGCTGGTACACAGGGGGTCTGCTTTCATTCATATCTGAGGGCAACAGGTCACCAGATTCCTTAGGTCAGGCCCCATGGATTCATCTGCTCCTCTTTCCCCCCACACTTTGGAATACAGCTGGGTCAGCAGCTGTCACAGGGAAGCTGAGTCAGAACCCCATGGCAGTAGGAAAAATATACCAAAAAAAAGTTACACAGAGCCACAAAGATTCCTAGCTTCTTCCTAATATACGACTGGCTGGGTCAGTTGGGGAAATATAAAAATCGTATACTAATCTTTTGCTAGTAATTATAATACCATAATGACCTGTTTTTCTATCTCTTTCACTACAGTGTGAGTATCTTAAAGAAAAGCGACTTTATCTCATTGCCCTATGTATTTCCAGGGTCTGGCGTATCGAAGGAGCTGAGTGTATGTCAGTGGTGAGTAAATCCCAAGTGCAGTCTCAGGGTTTGCAGATGCAAATGTCACTGTGTAGATGAAACAGACCAAAGATGGTGATTCCCTTTTAAGGGATGAGAAGGAAGATAAGGGCAGCCCTAGCTTAGATTGGGGCCACCCCTTGTATCTCTCCAGAGAAATCCAAATCCATCCAGCTAAACTATTACTTCTATAACACTTATAATTTCTATGTTATTATTTCTTTATATATTCCACCCTTAGATTCATAGTTTCAGAAAAAAAAAGAACAGGTTTAAAAGTTAGAGTTTGGTTTCTTTCCTTTCCTCTTTCATTTACTTGGTAACTATTTATGAACGACTATTAAATGGGAGGTCTTACACTAAGTGCTGGGATCATAAGTCAGCCATAATTTCTGCTTTTAGGAAGCTGACAGCCTAGTAAGGGATACTCTCTTGTAAACAAATTGTAATGCAGTGGGTTAAATATATAATAGATGCATGTATACAATATAGTGATGACATAAATGAGAGCAAAATCAATTTTGTCTCTAGTCCTTACTACTTTGAGACTACTGAATAACATCTCTTCTATTTTTTATTTGTAAAACTGGTATAAAATCATCATTAGGAAGAAAGTTCAAAGAAACAGGAGAATATTATATAATTGCAAGGGACACATTCTTGATGGGAGTTCTTTCCCACTTCCAGACTGCTCTGAGGACTTGGCCTTTGACTCCTGAAATCTCTCTCTCTCCTATTTCCCTTGGATCATACTCTTTAGATATTCATGGGAAGTGAGAGAGCAAAGGAAGGTGGCAAGGTAAAATGTGAGAGAAGAACAAGGCTAGTCCACAGGGTACAAAAGGAAGGTGGAAAAGAGAGGAAGCCTAAGGAAACCTCTCAGGGAAGGTGCTGTTTGGATAAGAGAGAAAAAAGGCTACAGGAAGGGTAGAACACATCTGGCAGGATGAAGAAGGCTACCCAGGACAATTCAGCTTGCCTCATGCTGACCCCCATACCTGACACTTCCAGATAGCTATCATCATTCAGGCGGCAGGCCTCAGTTAAAGTAAGGAATAGGCAGCCAATGGGATCCAGCGGGTGGCCCACCCAGCCTTCCAGGTTTGTGATGGCTGTGGTTCCTCTCTGCAACAGTTCTGGAAACAAGCAGGTCAGAGTTTTAGAGAACGATAGAGATACACTGCTCTCTGTCCCTGCCTGGGCCTCCTCTTCACTTTCTTTCAGAACTTGGCCCTGAGACTCAGAGAAAGCTTCCCTCATTGTCTCGCCTTGGATTGATGGGACAGGTCATAAGCTTATCAGCCAGCTGCAAAGACTTATGGTCTCCATTTAGGCTCCCTGTTGGCAGCTCACATATGTAGATACAGCTTTACAGTTTTAAAAGGTTCTTATGTCAGATCTTAGTGGGCCTTCCAACTGCCTTCTGAGGGAGGCATGTGCTGGCATTATTATTCCCATTTTACAAAGATTCAGAGTAAAGTGAGACATTCCACATAGCATGCAGCATGATCTGGAATCCCCAGCCTCTGCCAAACTATGAAACTTCATAAACATTAAGACCTTACAACTTGTAGCTGCTGAGGAGCCTCTTCAGCCTTAGCCTAAGGAATTAGGATGGCTCCTAATAGCCTTAGAGTTAGAATGGCTCCTAATCACTGTACCTTTCTTCTGATGCTTGTAGATTTCCAGCTGCCGTTGCTGCTGCAACCTCAAAGTATTGATAATGGCCACTGTGAGTCTGAGAGCCTCTTTTGGATAACCATGGGAATGCAGGGCATCTACCCGAGCACAGGCTGTAGGCACATGTTCTACCAGATGAGAAGAAAATATTTTGGTTGTATTAAATGTTCAAATTAGGTAAATTCGTGCTTGAGAAAAGGAGTTTGTGTTCTGTTCAGTTCCTCAAATTCTACCTGATATCTACTGTGTACCAGGGACTATGTGTTATCTTTTAAGGATATAAAGTAGAATAAGTCACAGGCATTACCATTAAGAGCCACCCTGACGTCTCAACTATGGTGTAGAAAGGGACACACAATTAGGATAATAAAATATTGTACCTCTTTGTGAATATGTATTATGGGAATCCAGTGGTGGTAGCAACTAACTGACTGAAGGGACAGGCCTCATTCATTTAATAATCCTACATTTCCTGAGAACCTATTATTTGCCAAATGAAAGTACTAAGATGAATAAGAAATAGCCACTACCGGCCAGACCCGGAGCAGCTGGTTGTGGAGCGGACCAGAGCAACAGAGGCCAAGCCTGGAGCAGCCAGGCCTGGAACAGCTCGCTCCTCACCTGTCCATGCCCCAGGGCTGCCTCTCAGACATGGCTGGAAACTTTTGGGGGAACTTGAGGGTCTGCTGAATCAAGTGATGAAGGCTTAGATCTGGATGTGTTGAGTTAGTATAGCGCTGGGGTGTTGATCTGTGAGTGCCTTGTGTGGGGTCTGGATGAGGTTGGTTGATCTATTTGGAAATGTCTTTTGTGTGAAGTGTATCCTTGGGCATGTGGAGGTATTATTGATATGAGAAAATGCTAAGTAACTGATTTACTATCTGAAAAATTTAAAGTTCTGAAAGTTTAAGGTCTCTTCCCAAAAAGAGGTTTTAAAGCTAACACCTTAATTTTAATGGAGAAAGGGGAGGACAAGCCCTTCCTACCCAGAACAGGTAATCCAATTCCAACTAGCAGCTATCTTTAAACAATGTGTCCATTTACACTTGAATGGCTACACCTTTTGATAGCCTAAGGGCAAGTTTACATGTAAACAAGTTTGCTTCTCAATTCCCAGGGCAGAAAAAACAAGGTTTAAAATTATTAGATTTTAAAATTTATTCTTAGAAGTGTAAAAGTTTATTAATTAAACAACAACAACAACAACAACAAAAAAGGAGATTGAAAAAAAAAAAAAAAGGAGATTGAAAAACCTGATGAACAATATTAGCTGTTGATTGTAGTAGAGTCAGAGAAATGGGAGGGGAGTGGACTGACAGTTCTCAGGGAAAGGGGGAGTGGTGGATGAATATAAATTGTGCATCTATGGATGAGGACAATGGGGTGGTAGGGAGGGGGCGGAGGGTGGGGTGGGAACCTGGTGGAGGGAGGAAGAAATGAGGAACCTTTGTAATAATATGAACAATAAAGACTGATTTAAAAATAAATAAATAAATAAAAATTTACATTGTAAGGAATGTAAGACTCAAAAAAAAAAAAAAAAAAAAAAAAGAAAAAAAAGAAAAAGAAAAAGAAAAAAAGAATACCCTTCAGCATTTCATGTAATTCTGGTCTGGTGTTGATGAACTCCTTTAACTTTTTCTTGTGTGTGAAGCTCTTTATTTGATCTTCAATTCTGAATGATAGCTTTGCTGGGTAGAGTAATCTTGGTTGTAGGTTCTTGTTGTTCATCATTTTGAATATTTCTTGCCACTCCCTTCTGGCCTGCATAGTTTCTGTTGAGAAATCAGCTGACAGTCGTATAGGTACTCCCTTGTAGCTAACTAGCTGTTTCTCTCTTGCTGCTTGTAAGATTCTTTTTGTCTTTTGCCCTTGGCATTTTAATTATGATGTTTCTTGGTGTGTCCTTCCTTGGATTCCTCTCGTTTGGGGTTCTGTATGCTTCCTGAACTTGTAAGTCTATTTCTTTTACCAGATAGGGAAAGTTTTCTGTCATTATTTCTTTCATTAAGCCTTCAATATCCTGCTCGCACTCCTCTGGCACCCCCAAAATCCGGATGTTGGTACGCTTTAAGCCATCCCAGAGGCTCCTTACACTATCCTCACACTTTTGGATTCTTCTTTCTTTCTGCCTCTCTTATATTCCAGATCTTGGTTTGATTCTTGGGGTATGTTGATCTATATTTGAATTTCTGTATATTCTTTATTTCAGAGATTGTATGCTTAATTTCTGACTGGTCCTTTTCCATTTTTTTGGTATTCTCTTTAAGGTCCTTGAAGGTCTCACCAAGCTTCTTGGAGGTCTCATCAAGTTTCTCAAAGGTTTTTAGAAGATTCTTGAGTAATCTTATAAATGTGATTCTGAACTCTGTGTCGTCCAGTAGTTTGCTTTTCTCCATCTCTCCCATGCGTGACATGTTTCTGAGTCTCCTCCCTGTGTAATGGAGTGGCTTTGTATGGTAGGTGACCATACAAAGCTTCCCCATTAACCTGGGGTGGTCGCTTTTGGTATATCCCTTTGTGGGCTGAGTGCAAAGTCTTGGTGTAATTAAGCCTTGATTGCTTTTGGTACACTGGGAGGAATTGATCTCCAAGCCAGTTGTCTGTGAGGACCTGCTCTGTCTATAAAGGAAGAACTGCTGCGCTGGAGACACGATTTGTTTCAGGGGCTTTGGTGCTCACTGAGTCCGTCTCCCAAATGTGTCACTTATGGATGTGAGGGGTTGAAACTGACCACTAGAAACACTGGCTTCTGGATCACCAATGGGGTACAGTTCATTTGCTTGGGACTTGTTGGTTTTGTTGCTGGAGCTTTGTTGCTGGAGCTGTAGTTTATTTCATTAAGCTGCCACAATACCAGCCATTTGTATGCAAAAGCAGCTGTGGTGCCTGGGCGGGTCTGTAGAATCTGTGGGCAGGGCCTCAGAGTGGCGTCGCGGGGCTTGGCCTCAGGGTGGGGCGGGGTCTCAGGACAGCACCAGGTTGGGGCCTGGCTAACAGCAATGGCTGTCCCAAGTTCCAGCCCTCCCCCTTTTTTTTCCTGCATTTCCAAGTCCTGGCTTCCCTGCGATCCAGCACAGTAAACAATGATTGCTGCGTGCACCTCTGCAAGAGTCGCCCTCACTTCGGACCAATGGCCGACAGACCAGCTTCTCCCTGTAGGTGTCTGAGTCCCCCACGTGACCCCAGGAACTTGATTTCAAAGTGATAGGGAGCTTGTTTCCTTTCGGGTTGAAAAGAAAAGCCGTTTGCCCAGTTGCCTGCCACCAGCCCGATTCGCCACCAGCCCGATTCGCATGCCTCCATACCTAGGCTCCTCAGCTTTTCAGCTCTTGCACTCCTTTCTCTTTCAGCCAACCTTCCTGTGGTTTTGGATGATAGATGTCCTTTATATTAGTTTTAATTTAAAAAAAAATATATTTTATTGATTTTTTACAGAGAGGAAGGGAGAGAGATAGAGAGAAACATCGATGAGAGAGAAACATCGACCAGCTGCCTCTTGCATACCCCTTACTGGGTATGTGCCCGAAACCAACGTACATGCCCTTGACCAGAATCGAACCTGGGACCTTTCAATCCATAGACCGACGCTCTACCACTGAGCCAAACTGGTTTTGGCTAGTTTTAATTTTTAAATTGTGGGAGCGGCAGACCAGTTGCTCACTTACGCTGCCATCTTGGTTTCTTTTTTTTAGAACCTCCTTCGGTCGAGTTTTAATACCATACTAAGGAGTTTGGATTTACTTTAGAAATAATGGAGGACTAGCAAAGGCTTGTAAATGGGCAAATGATCATAATGAGATTTATGGCTTATTTTGTGATTTCTTTTAAACATTACAATTTATAAAAATAATTGCAAAAAATTAAAAGACATAGATAAGCAAAATATAAAATAAACATTAGAGATAAGCATTGTTTTCACTTTCATGTATACATCCAGATTTTTCTATTCAATTTTAATTACAATGGGGTGATGTAATTATTGTCTTATTACTGGGTTTTTCCACTTCACACAATGTAAATATTTTTCCATGTCATTAAATGTACTTTTATAACACTAAAAGTGATTACACATCACTTCAATGAATATGTACTATCCACTGAGTCAATCAATTCCCTATTGTTGGTTATTAGATTGTTTCTAATTTTCTCATCTGTACATTATTTTTAACCATGCTCTAACAGACCCTCTAGTTTTATGCATATTTTTAGGTAATTATAGCTCAGGATAAATTCCTAGATGCAGAATTCCTAGATCAAAGGCTATGAATGTGTTTTAAAGGCTTTTGATAAGTATTGCTAAAATACCCTTTAGGAAAGCTTTAACATTTACACTCCTACCAATAATATGAGAGTACCTATCTCCATGCAACCTCTTTCAACCAAAAACCAATAATCTTTATTTTTAAAATCCTTGACCAGTTGACAATCCAAAAATGGTAATTCAATGTTGTTTTGATTTGCATCTTTGTTTATTAATGAGGTAATTCTTTTTTTTTCACAAGCTTGTTAGTTTTATGTAGAAGTGTTGAATCAGAGAAGAGGAAAGATAATCAGAGGGAACTTCAGCTAATGACCCACAGTGAGTAGGGCCAAGGCTTTAAAGTGAAAGACAGGGTCATATTCAGATTCAGCAAGATCTCGAGAAAGACAAAGATAATGGGCTGAGGAATAGAGGTAGGGAAATGGGAACAGATAATAAAAATGTAAATCATGCTGAGACCGGTTTGGCTCAATGGATAGAGCGTCGGCTTGGGGACTGAAGGGTCCCGGGTTCGATTCCGGTCAAGGGCATGTACCTTGGTTGCAGGCATATCCCCAGTAGGGGGTGTGTAAGAGGCAGCTGATCGGTGACTCTCTCTCATCGATGTTTCTAACTCTCTATCTCTCCCTTCTTCTCTGTACAAAATCAATAAAATATATTTAAAAAATGTAAATCATTAGTATAAGACTCAGAAAATAAATCTATTTTAAAACAATTTCTCTTTTGTAATGGGCATCCTGTAATAAAGTCAAGAATAGTATGATAAAAGGCCAGAAGATGATTTAAAGTGACAAAGAAACAGCTTTATTCTGTTATTATTAAGGAAAGGTGGAAAGGAATAAGCTTGGTGACAAATGAAGATTATGCCCTAGCTACTAGCACAGGATAATTTATGTTTCAAATGTAGTGCCTTTTTAGCAAAACATAATTTCAGTAACTGTTGACTAAGGGAGTCTATGAATTGATATCTACTAGTTTTAGTAGTACTCTTTGAGATTTATTAACGCCTTTCCCCTCCCAAAATTTAGGATACAGAATATAAATTCCTCTATTTGAGGTTACTGTACCTCAGCAGAGTACATATACCAAATGCTTAGTCTTCACATAAATACTGAGGTCTGAATGAAGACCCCAAAAGATATGCATGAAAATCATCCCAACTATAGTTGTGTTGCTGGTACCGATGCAAATGCCACATTCAGGCCAAGAAGTGAGATTGGACTCCAAAAGTCTTAATAGTAGAAGAGAGATACACTTACCAAGCCACAGTGGCTGGCCTTGGGAATTAAAGAGTAGCCTCTCACTTTCCCGCTGACAGGCAGGAGCTATATATATATCGCTGCTAATTATTCGCTGTAGGTGGCTGTCTTGCCAATGCAATTCACGGCCCTCGATGGCTCTAGTAAACACTGTTCGTCTTGGTCTGGATAAGGAGTCTGGCAAAAGAAAGAAATTCATGCAGCAGTTTAATGATGGATTATCTGAAGCTCTAACTCTTGTGCTCTTCAGGGTGGGAGGGTGGGCATGTGGTTAGTGAGAGCAGCCGCTCTGCCATCTGTCTGGGTGTTTGTTGTGTTACCTGTTTATCGGATAGCTTTTAGTGTGTCTGTGCCCTCTATGGAAAGATACTTCCCACAGAGGTCTATGGCTGCCTTTCTACTTCTTACAGAAAACTAATTTCTCCTAGGACCCAGAGCCACATGAAAGAGAGAAGGAACAATGGTGTTTAGCTGCTTAATTATGAGGATACAAACAGAAGTCAGAGGAAGAGAGAAGTAGGGAGGTAATCTTTCTGGTCAATCTATATCCTGTCTCATTTACAGCATGACCCTTATCAGACTGAGGACTTCCATGATATTCATATTAAAAGCTGAAAAAAAGAGTTAAAGCCCTGTGTATTCTGGTGTCTTTATCGCACTGATAACTGTAGGCTTACAGCCTTGTTCTCCAAAAAGAAAAACCGATACTAACAACAGTCTTGTTTTCTCTTTAGAGTTTTACCATGGCATCTCCCTTCCAGAAAAAAGGTGCAAGGAAACCAAAACAGCAAGCAAATTAGGCTCATTTCTTAAGAGTGGTGTGTATGAAGACCAAAGGGATGTTATATGGTTATAAACTGCAGATAGAGGAGGAGTCATGGGAATGACATTTAAAAAAATATAAAAAGGTGTAAAAGATTATTTAACTGACTCTATGCCAAATTAAGGGCGGTTGAAACTATTTTGGGATAAAGAACTGAACACTGTACCGATGTTTCCAGAAATGCCCAAATGAGGTGTGCATCTACTGAGCCTGAGCAAAAATATAGGGAAGAAAAGTCAAAAGATTCAGACTGAGCATGAAATAAATGAACATTTTCATCCACTAAAGTCGTTGGAGTCTGATCATCTCTTCAGAATGTGATATATTCTACAGAGTATGGGTTCAGAGAATTAAATGAGAATAACACTGACAGTATTTACTGAAACTACTTCTCCATGTTGTTCCTCGGTAGAAGTACAATGACTCCTCTATGGCTGCAGTCCAAGCCCCTCTCTTGCTGAAGTGAGAATCCACTGAGGGTTTGCTCATCCCACACTGGGGATCAGGCTCCCAATATGTTCTGTAATTCATTTAGTTAGTAAATTATGAGTCCTTACTACACGGAAGATTCTGTTCCAGGTACTAAAGATATACAAAGCAACCTTTACATTCAAATGGGGAGAGATAGTTAAATAAATATATATCAGATGGTTATAAATGCTGTAGAAAAAATGAGAGTGGAGTTAGAGAGAAAGGCAAGCTGGTGTTAGGTGAGGGTAATTGTTTTATATAGAATAAGGTAACATTCGAACAGAGACCTGTAGGAACTGAAGGCAAGACACAACTAAGGGAAGAGCATTCCAGGCAAAAGGAAAAGCAAGTGCTGAGATCCTGAGGAGTGTTTAAGGGCTACAAAGAGGCCAGTGTACTTGGAATGGAATGAGCAAGCAGGGAAATCATAGGAGATGAGATCAGAGAGATACCAGGGAGCTAGTTAATGAGGGCCTTGCAGGCCTGAGTGAAAATGACTTTGGCTTTCTGAGTAAGATGAGAAGCCACTGGAGGACTTTGAGCTGTTGAAGGTATATGATGTGACTTGCATTTTAATTTTTGGGGAAATATATTTTTATTGATTTGAGAGAGAGGGAGAGGGAGAGGGAGAGGGAGAGGGAGAGGGAGAGGGAGAGGGAGAGGGAGAGGGAGAGGGAGAGGGAGAGGGAGAGGGAGAGGGAGAGGGAGAGGGAGAGGGAGAGGGAGAGGGAGAGGGAGAGGGAGAGAGAGAGAGAGAGAGAGAGAGAGAGAGAGAGATAGGGAAAGAGAGAGAGAGAGAGAGAAACATCAACGATGAGAGAGACATATCGATTGGTTGCCTTCTGCATGGGACTCGACCAGGGCCAGGGATCAAACATGCAACTAACGTATGTTCCCTTGACTAGAACTGAGCCTGTAACCCTTCAGTCCACAGGACAACATTCTATCCACTAAGCCAAACTGCCTAGGGCTTGGCTTGCATTTTAAAAGGCTAACTGGAAGCAATATTGAGAATAGACTATAAGGTAGAAGGATAAAAGCAGGAGGCCACTGTAATAATTTGTGAAAAATGATGATAAGTTGGCCAGAGTAATAAGCAGGGGGAGTGATGAGAGTATATGGATTTTTTATATATACTGAAAGTAAAGGCAATAGGATTTGCTCATGGATTAAATCTGGGGTGAGAGAAAAAGGGAAAAATCAAGAATGACTCCAAAGTTTTTAAGACAGACTTGACATAGAGACAGGGAAGACTGCAGGAAGAGCAGGTTTGGGTGGGGCTTGTGGGGTAAGAAATCCTACTGAGATGCCCATTAATATCAAAGTGGAGATACTGGAAGGTCATTGAACATACTAGCCTGGAGTTGAGAGAAAATCTCTAAGAAGGAGGCATACATTTGGAAGTTGTTAGTATATAGATGACTATTAAAACAATGAATGAAATAAGTATCCTATATAATAAAAGGGTAACATGCAAATTGACAAATGGCAGAATAACTGTTCGTTGTGATGCATACTGACCACTGCACACTGACCACGGCAGGGGGGCGGGGGGGGGGGGGGGGAGACAGACGCTCAATGCAGGAGCTGCCCCCTGGTGGTCAGTGTGCTCCCACAGGGAGAGCCGCTCAGCCAAAAGCCGGGCTGATGGCTGGTGAGTGCAACAGTGGTGGTGGGAGCCTCTACCATCTCCACAGCAGCATTAAAGATCTCAGGAAGGCCGAAACCGGTTTGGCTCAGTGGATAGAGCATCGGCCTGCGGACTGAAAGGTCTCAGGTTCGATTCCAGTCAAGAGCATGTAACCTGGTTGCGGGTGCATTCCCAATGGGGATGTGCAAGAGGCAGCTGATTGATGTTTCTAACTCTCTATCCCTCTCTCTTCCTCTCTGTAAAAAATCAATAAAATAAAAAAAAAAGATGTCAGGAAGCCTTCAGTCTGACATCCTCATGGGCTCCCCCAGGCTGCGAAAGGAAGCAGGCTGGGCTGAGGGACTCCTCCCCCTCCCACCCTGAGTACACGAATGTCATCCACTGGGCTTCTAGTAGAAAGATAAGTGGTTTAATGACTGATCCTTGGGCACTCTAGCATTTTAGCTTGAAAAATGGGAAGGAGACAGTAAAAAAGATGTAGGAGGAAGGGCCAATGAAGTAAGACGAGAACCAAGAGAGAATAGCAAGCCTTTTAAAAGGCTTAATCTTTTTAAAAAAATTAAGCCCACCCTAACTGGTTTGGCTCAGTGGATAAGGCATTGGGCCTGCAGACTGGGAGATCCCAGGTTTGATTGCGGTCAAGAGCATGTACCTTGGTTGCGGGCACATCCCCAGTAGGGAGTGTGCAGGAGAAGAGGCAGCTGATCTCATCCATGTTTCCAACTCTATCCCTCTCCCTTCTTCGCTGTAAAAAATCAATAAAGTATATATTTTTAAAAATTAAATTTATTGGGGAGACATGGTTGTGTGTTCTGTTTTGTTTTTAATTTTTAGGTTTTAAATTAAATTTGTAGTGTTTTGGAAATAAGATGGAAAAAGGTGTTTTAAGGAGAGAGAGATGATAGCTTAATTAGAGTGAATTTAAGGGAGAATAAGAGCAGAAGAGATAGAAAATATATATTATTTTAAAATTATTTTTCTTATATCTATTATTTATTTCTATTACCTCAGAAAAAGAGGGAGGTACCAGAGAGGCATGTGGGGTCACAAGTATTTTTTGTTTAGTTTTGGGATGATAGATAAAAACAATGTGCTTGTTTACTCTCAGGAATAATCCACCAAAGTTTGTGATGCAGGAGAGCAAGGAAAGAATTCCAGAATGATATCCTGGATAAAAGAGAAGAAATAGGGTCTCTAGAATAAGTGGAAGGCTTGGACTTACATAAAAGAACAAACAAAAACAGTGGAAGAACCACAGTAGATGGACATAGACTGAGTAATGTAATTTTGGAAATCCTCTTCTGATTGTTTCTATATTCTCAGTGAGTAGAAAGCAAGGCTTCAGCTAACACGAAGAGAGGAATAGAAAAAGTTTTAATGAAAAGATGGTGGAAAATAGTAATTTAGAAGAGTGAAACAGGGCATAGACTAGGGAAATGCAATAGATGTCTAATCTACACGCTATGGATCCACTTGAGATTAATGATCATAAACTTCAAAATTAAGACCAGTTACCATGGGTGTATTTCTCTCTACCATGTTCAGCTTTGCATGTGTGAGCACAGGGTAATTATAGAGTTAGACTAAACTAGTAACATTAGTTATCTGTTATGTGAGTGTAACAAAGGGAAAGGGGGGAGTATGTATGCAAGGGAATTAAAATGATTTACCAAGGAATTTAACCTGGATAAGGAGGAAAATGAAATTATCAAGAGAATTAAAAAAGTAGTAGGATAAAAATTCCTAGTAGGTCAAAGAACTACTGGAATTGGGGATACTAAAGAAAATAAGGTAGTGAAGGCTGTTGGCGGTAATTAGAACTGCTCTAAATTGAGATTATGAAGAAAGTTTTTGGTAATGACAAGGTATAGGAGAGGATCTTGGGATACCATGGCTAAGTTATATTAGAAGATGAGACAAAGAGAGGAGGTTAAGGAGCAGAGAAGCTAGAATATTGGAAGGATCATCTATGTGGCTACTAAAATCATTAAGATTTATGATAGAAGTAATGACAGAGAGTAGTGTTGTAAGCCAATAGCAAAAATCTTTAGGGAATGAGGGAAATTGACTCAAAGATCTACAAATAACCAAAACAAGAAGGATAGCAGACAGTATATTTGATGGCATAAACTTTAAAGATGTGGGTTATTTTAGGAAGGAGTGAAGGACATTGATGGAGAAATGGCAATGAAGGATAAGCAGGATGCCTATTGTTCCATCAGGTCCAATGGCAAAGAGATGTGAGAGAGAAATAACCTCAACATGAAAAGACTACAGAGGAAGCAATATACTCAGATGAGAACCAGTAACAATAAACAACACCAATATACTATGACAAGGAAGAAAATGCCAGACTGGAGGCATTTGTTTATATGCATTTCACTCTCTCTATACCAATCCAAAGCCAACACTAAAAAGATGGCTTCCTATATTGTGAAGGTTAGATGAGTACCAGTAAAGGGTAGTGTAAAGAAGTGGCAAAATTTCAGCCTTTTCACCTCTCATTACTTTAGCTGCTTTAAATACACTGACAATCAATTATGGTGCAGTTGATGAACACCAAGCAAGAACAATAATTTAAGTGATTTTCTTTTTGAGATTAAAAATATCAGTAGATTTATCATCTAAAATAAAAGGGATCAACATACCTGGTTTGGGTCAGTAGATAGAGCATTGGCTTGTGGACTTAAGGGTCCCAGGTTCGATTCCAGCCAAGGGCACATGCCCAGGTTGTGGGCTCAATCCCCAGTAAGAGGCATGTAGGAGGCAGCCAATCAATGATTCTCTCTCATCATTGATGTTTCTCTCTCTTTCTCTCTCTCTCTCCCTCTCCCTCTCCCTCTTCCTCTCCCTTCCTCTCTGAAATCAATAAAAATATATTTTTTAAGATAAAGGGGACCACATATAAAATTAACATCTTATCAAAATATCCCAATAATAAAGGTTCTCAATGGGCAAAAGAGCAATCAGTTCCAACCATTAAATAGCCTGAGTCAGATAAACTAAAACTGATGCAAATGCTAATGCCCAGTGATATCAGTAGGCCATTGGGCCCAAAATGCAGAGGGTACAGTATCTCTGTACTGCAATGATGTCAAACTCAAGGCTGGTGGGCCGCATGCCTCATTTAAATAAATGAGGCATTTGGCCCACCGACCATGAGTTTGATATGCTTGCTATACTGGATTTGTCTTAAAATGAGCAAGCATCCTAATAGTAACTTGGGAGCATGACTCCTTCTAGCTATCTGCTGTATAAACATTTGAGGAAAACAGGAAAGTAAAAAAGGCAACTGTCATGACATTTTAAAAATATGTATTTTTTAATTGATTTCAGAGAGGAAGGGAGAGAAAGATAGATAGAAACATTAATGATGAATGATAATCATTGATCAACTTCCTCCTGCATGCCCCCTACTGGGGATCAAGTCTGCAACTGAGCATGTGCCCTTGACTAGACTGGAACCTAGTACACAGGCCAATGCTCTATCCACTGAGCCAAACTGGTTAGAGCTGTCATGACATATTTTTAAAACTGTTTTCCATCCTTCCATTGAGGTAGGTCTTTTGAATTAAAACCAGTCCCAGCCGGCACTGGTTTGGCTCAGTGGATAGAGCGTCTGCCTGCGGACTGAAAGGTCCCGGGTTTGATTCCAGTTAAGGGCATGTACCTTGGTTGCGGGCACATCCCCAGTAGGGAGTGTGCAAGAGGCAGCTGGTCGATGATTCTCTCTCATCGACGTTTCTAACTCTCTATCCCTCTATCTTCCTCTCTGTAAAAAAAAAAAAAAATCAATAAAATATAAAATAAATAAAAAATAAAATAAAACCAGTCCCAACTGAGGCGAGATCCATTAGTCATGAAGAATTTGAAGGGTAAAGAAGATTCATGCAGAGGACTCTAGAAATTTATGCTGGGGGGTTCCAGAAATTTATGAATATTCTATATGTGGAAGAAGACAGCATCTCCAATGTCAAAAGCTGACCCTTACGAAAGTTTTGCATTTCAAGACAAACAAAACGACTGGTTTTTCTTATTTAGGATGACAATTCTGATAGCCAATAGTTTTTCCAGCTACTTTTGTTCTAGGGTTTTCCCCTCAAACTTTTGGAGTTATAGGCACAAAGGCCCTAAAAAGGTATCTGCTTACCTGGGTTGTGACTGGCATTCTGGGGAAGTGCATTGGTGATATTGGGCAGCTCATGCCCATAGTTCCCATCTTCCAGGGGACAGACATCCAAGTCACTCCACTTCTGCAGTTGCTGCAGCCAAGAGGATTTTTCCTCCAGTTTGCAATGTGGATTTAAAATGATGCATACCCACAAGGCCCCTGGAAAAGAAAACAACTCACATCCTTCATATCTGTTCTTCAATGTATTTGCAAGCCTTACTCTTGTTCAGCTTATTCTTTTCTTCCATTTTCAGCTGGTAGGAAAAGTTTCCAAAACATCAGTGTTTCTCAATATTAAAAAATGAGATCTGCTAACATTTTCAGAACTGGCTTATTTTTCCTTCCCAAAGCCTCCTTAAAGCAGAGTGACTATCTTGATATCTGGATATGTGCCTATGATAATGAACAAGACAGATTTGGGTTTGAATTCTTAGCTTGAATCTGTAGTCCAACAAACATTTACTGAGTGCTTTCCATGTTCAAGGCTCTGTACTGGAGAATGAGATACTGTTCCTACTTTTGAGTAGCTGTCTAGTGGTGGAGATAAATAAACAAACAGACTGCCATTTGACTACAGTAAGTGTCAAGATAAAGATATGTTCAGGGCACAAGAGCAGCACAAAAGAAGGGCATTTATGTAGTGCAAGGACAGGGGTCAAAAGGTAGGTGCTATGCTACGAAAAGGTTTCAATTTTTGGTTAGTTGACTTTGGACTAAAATTCAAATCCCTCAACTGTAAAACTGAGATCATAAGACACCTACATTTACAGATATTGTGAGAATTACATGAGATAACATTGGCAAAGGGCCTAGCTTATTACTTGGCATATAGTAAAATTTTAGTATTTCATTTTTCCAGGGAAAATGGTTTCTTTGGACTTGGATTATAATACTGGTGATATACTGTGATGTCTTAAAACTATCACATCCTTGCATCTTCTGTCACTGTATCAGATCATCACATATTAGAAATAACCAATGGATACTGTTTCTTTGACCATATCGCTCTTCTTTTTAAGCAAACCAACTTCTTCTCAAGGTTTGTGTGTAGCTAAGCCAGATATATTCTCAATCTCAAGTTAGCAAATAAACCTGACGTAGAGTGGCTTAAGTGAAATATCCTTTGTGATAGAGCCACTACATCTATGGATGTAGCTACGTTCAGACACTATTTCAAGGCCCCTCCAAGTTAAGTAAGAATATTTTAAAAGGTCATTTGAACTTCAAATACCAGTATTAACTGAAGAAAATGAGTATTCATTTCTATTAGCTCAATCAAATTTTTATAATCTACCATAAAAAAGATTTCCAACCTAGAATTTTACACCCAATCAAAGTATCACTCAAAAGCAAAAGTGAGAGTCCAGTTGAGATGGCAGCATAGGTAAATATGGCATCATGTCCTCCCACAACCACATCAAAATTAAAACCAAATTACAGAAAAACCATCATCAAGAACCACTGGAATCTAGCTGAACGTAAGTCCTACAACTAAGGATATAAAGAAGCAGCCACATTGAGACAGGTAGGAAGGCTGGAGACACACAGTGGGCTAGTCCCACACCCACATGTGGCGGTTAAAAATTGGGAGGGAGTATCTCAGCTGCAGAAGTCCCCCAGGAGGAATTGAGGGGTCTCAGCTCCATATCAGGACCTCCAGCTCAGGGTTCCAGTGCCAGGAAGAGAAGTATCCAAAACTGCTGGCTGTGAAGACCAGCAAAGATTGTGGTTGAGTGAGAGTGAGGGCGGCTAAAGTCCCAGATGTTCTTCTTAAAGGCCCATGTACAGACTTAACTCAGATTCACTCCCTCTGAGCTTCAGTGCTGAGGCAGCAGCTTGAAAGGTTCTAGGCACATACACAGAGGAACAGAATTGTCTGGCTCAGGGTGAGAGCTGAAGGGCCAGCTTTCTCCCAGACAGAAGTGCTAGCAGAGGCTATTGTTCCTTTACTGAGCCCTCACCTCATAAACTGTCAGGTGCCATATTGGAGTCTCCACTAACACTCTTTGCCCTGCCCTTGCGTCCTTGAGACCTTGTCACAACCAACTTGCAGGGCCATCCATGCCATTTCCAGTGGCTTTCCCATGCAAACAGACTATTTTAGCTCATGCAGAGGACTTTCCTAAAAATCTCTCAAAGGTTCACAAACCTCACATAAGCAGCACCTGGCTTGGTGTGCCCCATGCTTCTTGTTAAGTGGCCCCAAGCCTAGCACTAGTAATAGCTGACTTTGGTATGCAGCTTAGCCTAACCTGGGCACCTCTAATCCCAGTTCAAGTAGCAGCCATCTGCAGATCACTTTGTAGTTTGTGCTAGTTGAACCTGGGCAGGATGGCAGCTGATCTTGGCTAGCAGCTGATTTTGGCCAGCTTCTTCTAGAAAGCACCAGAGCCAGAACACCTAGAGGCTTGCTTCAGACCTCACTGTAGCACCACACAACCACCACCACCAGAGACACACTCAAGGGGAAGACTCATTGGGCATAAGAGCTCTGAAGTAAGTTCTGCTCTGTGGGGTTGGCCCCTGCACAGCACCTCCTCCACTGTGGTCATAGCTAGTCCTCACAGCCTATTACCCTGGGGGTAAATCCCTCCTATTGACATGCTAACAGCAATCAAGACTCAACTACCGTGTTTCCTTGAAAATAAGACATCCTTCGAAAATAAGACCTACTTACAGGTTTCCTTCTGAGTGAAATATAAGGCATCCCTCCAAAAATAAGGCCCCCCTAGGCTAAACATGAGAGATTTGGTCCACTGATTCTGAAAGAAATGAAGTCACAAGAAATTCACCAGGAAATTCAGGAATTGGATTGTTATGATGATGTTCCAGAAGATGATGACATGATTGTCATTGAATAAATGAGTAAATTCTTGAGACTGTAGGATTCAGTTTGTCTGGTTTGTGTTGACAACTACCATACAACCGTACTGTATACAGGTAATAAATTTCCTTTATTTTCATTTAACAATAAATGTGTACCGTATTCTTCTTCATGGAAAAATAAGACATCCCCTGAAAATAAGACCTAGCGCATCTTTGGGAGCAAAAATTAATATAAGACACTGTCTTATTTTCGGGGAAACAGGGTACAACAGGAGGGAGCACACAGCCCATAAAGAGTGTGATGGCACATCCAGAGCACCCAGATCCAGTGATCAGGGAGGCTGTGCCACTGGGCCCTACAGAACACCTACTACATAAGGCCACTCTACCAAACTGGGAGACATGGCAGCTCTACCTAACACATAGAAACAAACACAGGGAGGCAGTCAAAATGAGGAGACAAAGAAACATGTCCCCAATGAAGGGAGAGAATAAAACTCTAGAAAAAGAACTAAACAAAATGGAGACAAGATATAGAGGTCGAAACACTGGTTATTAACGATGCTCAATGAACTTAGGGGGAAGAGTAGAGGAACTTAGTAAGAACTTCAAGAAAAAGATAAGAAACATAAAAATGGAGACAGAAAATATAAAAAAAGAACCAGTCAGCCCTAGCTAGTTTGGCTCAATAGATAGAGTGTCTGCCTGGGACTGAAGGGTCCCGGGTTTGATTCCAATCAAGAACATATACCTTGATTGCAGACTCAGAGGCAACCAATCAATGTGTCTCTCTCACATTAATGTTTCTCTCTCTTTCTCCCCCTCCCTTCCACTCTCTAAAAAAAAGCACAGCAAAAAATAAAAACAAACCAATGGAAAAATATCCTCAGGTAAGGATTAACAAAAAGAAGAATACAATAACTGAAATGAAAAATATATTGTAGGAGATCAACAGTAGAATAAATGAAGCAGAGGACCAAAATCAGAGATTTGGACAATAGGAAGCAAAAAACACCCAATCAGAATAGCAAAAAGAAAAAAGAGTTTTTAAAATAAAAGTTTTTTTAAAATAAAAGTTTTTTTAAAATAAAAGTTTGGACAACCTCAAATGTACCAACATCCAACATTTGTAACATGGAGGTGCTGGAAAGCAAGGACAGAGAGCAAAAAATTGAAAACCTATGTGAAAAAATGACAGAAAACTTCCCTAACCAGGTGAAGGAAATAGACATATAAGTCCATGAAGTGCAGAGAGTCCCAAACAAGGTGAACCCAAAGAAGCCCAAATCAAGACACATTATAATTAAAATGACAGAGATTCACCCTAACTGGTTTGGCTCAACGGATAGAGAGTCAACCTGTGGACTGAAAACTAGTTCTTCCCTTATCTTGTGTCTATATTATACCGTTCGCTATTTCTACTAAAATTAATGCAGGGAGAAATAGGTCTCTCCCATAAAAAAACAAAGAAGATAAAAGAACCTCATCATTTATGATAAAAGAAGAAGAATGCTAAGAACAAAAATTTGAGAAAACATCAACCTTTAAGTTGTTAGCAGAAAAGGAGGAATAAAGCACAAAAGAAAAAGAAAGAAGAGAGAGATGGAAGAACCCGGAAAAATTGGCGACACATGAATTAATTAACAATGTCTAATATGTCAGAATGTCAATATTAGTAACAAGCATTTATTCTACATTTTAAAAAGTGCTTTCTATTTATAGTGAAGTAAAAGATTTTCACACTTAATCTTCATAAGTAAAAAGAGAACCAAAAAGAGGCCATTAAATTTAAAGGGATTCTAGAGGTCTTATCAATTCCAAAATAAATAGAACCATAGGAATGAAAAATAGGTTGGGTGAGTTGAGAGAAGCTTAAGAAGTAAAGAAACAGTATGATTTGAGTCATCAAGAAGCTCCTATTCCTAAACATTTAGATATTAAAAAGGAGATCTCTTGAGGAAGAGGCAAAGAATGATAGAAACATCAACGATGAGAGAGAATCATTAGGATAAAAGGAGAAGAATGGATCAGCTGCCTCCTGCACGCCCACACTGGGGATCAAGCCTGCAACCTGGGCATGTGCCCTGACTGGAAATCGAACCATGACCTCCTGCTCAATGCTCAATCACTGAGCCATGCCCGGCTGGGCCAAGACATTAAGTTAAGTGCTTTATATACATTATTTCATTCAGTCCTCTAACTCTGAGAGTAAATAGGTTTTGGATTGAGTACAGAAAATAGGAAACAGAGGGAACCAAAGATGACTCTTGGATTTTCTTCTTGAACAACTAGATATATCTTGCTGTTGTGTACTGAGATAGGAACAACAATGGGGTAAATCAGACTTTGAAGGAAAATTAAGAGTTCTGTGATTGTCATATTAAGTTTGAGTGTTTCTTAGAAGTGACAGGAAGCTGAACACTGAACTTCGAGCTTAGGAGAAAGGTCAGGGCTAGAGACATTAATTGGTGACTTAACTGGATGGTATTTAAAGTCCTGGGACTGAATATGATCATTTAGGTAGAGAATGTAGATAGGAAAGTGGGTGCTATGTAGTACTCAATGTTTAGAAGAGTTGAAGAAAGGCAGAAGAGCCTGCAAAACAAACTGAGAGAAAGTAGCTAGGAATATAGGAGGAAATCAGGAGTGTGTGGGGTTATGGAAGTCAAGCAAAGAGTTAATTTCCGGAAGGATAATGGCCAATTTTATTGAAAATTGCAAAGAGGTCAAAAAAGGTAACAACTGAGAAGTGACCATTGTATCTTGCAATATGGAAGTTAATGGGAAGTTTGACAAGAGCTACTTCAGTAGGGTGGCACAAATAAGCGACGGAGGCTCAACTATAGTGGGCTCAAGAGACAATGGAGGTGAGCAAGTGAAAAGAGTGATTACAGAAAAGTTTTCCAAGAATTATTGCTTTAAAGGGAAGAGAAACAGGATAATAACTGAAGGGAGATGAAAACATCAAAGGCACCTTTTTTTTGAGACTGAAGATATTAGAGAAGAATTAGTGATGCTAGAAAAAGGAGATAACTGCAGGAGTAAAATTTGCCGCTGTCTTTTGCAGAAGGATTCATGAATCTGGAGAAGGGGCTGTGACATAAATGGGTACACTAGACAAGAAATATAAATTTAGAAGGCACTGGGGGAGCCAGATTGATACCTTCTCTCTAGAGGAGTGGGTTCCCCCAAATGCCTGGAACCATGGGTTTTTATTTACACATTTTGCCATTTAGCAAAGCAAACACACATATCAAAGCTAAGGTTTGGTAAACAATAAAGGATTATCAGGTTAGGGCTGTGCTACATGTGGCTCTTTGGCCCCTTGAGTGTGGCTCTTCCACAAAATACCACCGCCTGGGTGAGTATTTTGAAGAAGTGGCGTTAGAAGTTTTAATTTAAAAAATTTGGCTCTCAAAAGAAATTTCAATCGCTGTACTGTTGATATTTGGCTCTTTTGACTAATGAGTTTGCCGACCACTGGTTTAGGGGAATTGCTTTCAGTTGTTCAGCCAGCAGCAGGTAATAATATGCAGATTTTCAGCCCTGCTGAATATCGAAATCCATCAGTGTTCTTACATTTATTATGCTAACTATGTTGGTCTTTGACTCCAGCAAAAAACTATTTTAAAAAAAATGTTATTGATTTAATTAAAAAAAATTTTTTTTTTAAATTTTAGAGAGGAAAAGAGATAGAAACATCAATGATGAGAATCATTGATTGGCTACCTCTAGCAGACTCCACATTGGGGATAGAGCCCACAACCCAGGCAAGTGTCCTGACCGGGAATTGAACCATGATCTCCTTCCTGGTTCATATGTTGGCGCTCAACCATTGAGCCACGCTGGCCAGGCTTTTATTGATTAATTTTAGAGAGAGAGCAAGGGGCGGGGGGAGGGGAGAGAGAGAAGGAAAGAGGGAAAGAGAGAAAAACATTAATTTGCTGTTTTACTTATTTATATATTTGTTGGTTAATTTTTGTTTGTTAGTTAATTCTTGTATGTTCCCTGACTGGGGATTGAATCTGCAATCCTGGTGTATTGAGATGACGCTCTAACCAACTAAGCTACCTGGCTAGGGTAGCAGGAACAAAACTCTTAAGAAAAGGAGATGGTATAGGACTCAAAATAAATAGGTAAGGACTGGCCTTTTATAGGAGCAGAGATACTTTATATATTTTAACAGAAAAGAAAGTAAAGCATATGTGTACAGACATGGGGAGACGAGAAAAGCTCATGTCTGATAGCTTCTGGTTCATGAACTGAAATTACTGAGCCCACCCTCTAAGTTCCTACAAACCCTGCCTAAACCTTTCCCAGGTAAGCAGGTCTTGTGACCAGGAAGGAATCCTCAGAGTAGTCAGGGGAATCACAAATGCACCATGTTATAGTATCTAACCCCATAAGGCTTCCCTTAGGGCAGTGGTTCTCAAAATGTGGTCTTTTGAATAGCAATGTCAGCATTCCCTGAGAATTTTTAGAAATGCGAAATATCAGGCCTCACTCCAACCTACTAAATACAAAACTCTGGGGATATGCCCCATTATTTGTTTAAACAAGCACTCCAGGTGATACAGAGAAATTTGAGAACCACTGTCTTTGCAGGATGCTGAGAGTTTCTTAGAAGATTGATATAGCAATTTCTTAGATAAATAAAAATGTCAGAAGCAAGAGTTTTTCATAATGAACCTAAGTATATGACAAGAGCTTTAAAATCACTGGAAGCCAATTCTGCTTACATCCTCTCACCTACCTTTGCCCCAAAGACCAAACTCAAGTCCACAGCACAATCCCAAGATTTTCATAAAAATTACTCCAGGAGGTTTAGGCCTTAGACAAAATTGACTCTGAAGAAGGCTAATTTCAAATCTTAGGAAACATGCACTTTGCTCGGGGGAGGGGGAAGAGTATGCAACAAGATAGAATTTAGGGAGATGTTACAGAAGCATGTTTGATTTGGAGTCAGATGAGGTTCCAGTATTAAAGCCACTACTTAGTGTGTGACTTTGAATGAAATAACTTTCCTGAGCTCAGTCTTCTCCTCTAAAAATATGGAGGTGCCAATATCTTAATCTGGAAGGGAATCTATGCCTATAATTTCTTTTTAGGAAAGAGTCCAGAAGCAGTCTCCAAGTTGCCATGCATTATGTCATGTGACCCTAGTCACAACTGATTGAATCAGGAGTGGAACATTCTTGTACTTTAAAAAATGTGATTATGTTAAAGCAGAGAGAGTTTTCTATAATTCTTTATTTGATTCTGTATCCAGAAGTAACCTGAGCTAGCTATTTCTTTGTAATAAACACACAATTACCTCATAGTGTTATGAGAATTAAATGAGACAAAATGAGTCCAATCTTTAACATGGAGATTGGCACATAACAATAATGTAGATATTCATTATTAATGAAAGCTCCAAAGCCATTAGTGTTCAGGTGATATAAAAAGCCTCAATACCCAAACTAAGACCCTAGCCCCGAAGTAACAAAGTATAGTCTCAGAGTCATTAAACCTAATTTCCCAAGGCTTTGGCCCTAACACTATAAAACATATGCTTCAGGGGCTTCAATCCAGAAGTTACTACAATCTTAAACTGCAGTATTTCTTGTGCTATCTATAATAATAAAAGCGTAATATGCTAATTAGACTGGACGGCCAAATGTCCTTCTCGAAGACCTTCTGGATAAAGCTGGGGCTATAAGGGCCAAGGCAAGCCGCTGCGGCTGCAAGGACCCAGCCCCTTGCACAAATTTTGTACTTCAGGCCTCTAGTTTTGTATAAGTGGAAAGTCTGTTGTTGCTTTCTGGGGTTGGGGAAGTATTAGTACTTTTAGAATATGACATACATATCTTTTTCAGTATGATTAGGTGGTGAATCCAAGGTGTGGAAGATTCTAAAAACAGGGAGAGGAGTTGAGTCTTAGCACTGCAAAACTGGCATTGGAGCAAGGTAATGATAAAAAGAAATGATGACCAAAGGATATGGCCTTAATAAGAACGTGCAACAGAGGCTATTCAGGAGGCAACAGTTCTAATTTGATCTGAAAGTCCCAAGGCCCTCAACAAGAACAGTGGTGATGGGAAATAAAAAGTGGAAATGGACACTAAATTGCATTATGAAAACTAGAGAATCAATGATTTTGGTGACTGGATATAGGGAATGAAAGAAAAATAAGTGCTGCTGAAACCGGTTTGGCTCAGTGGAAGAGCGTCGGTCTGCGGACTGAAAGGTCCCAGGTTCGATTCCGGTCAAGGGCATGTACATTGGTTGTGGGCACATCCCCAGTGGGGCTGTGCAGGAGGCAGCTGGTTGATGTTTCTAGCTCTCTATCCCTCTCCCTTCCTCTCTGTAAAAAAATCAATAAAATATTTTTTAAAAAGAAAGAAAAAGAAGTGCTCACAAGTTTGGCAGAGTAAGGAATGGTGGAGACAATGCTAGAGTCAGGGGAACCTTTTTTTGTAAGAGGCCTGAGTTCATTTCAGATTTCCCAAACTTAAAGTGATGAGGAATTTTTTTTTTTTTCAGTGGAAAGGTCAAAGGGTAGCTGCTAATATGGGACTGAAACTCATAAATGAAAAAAAGATGAGGCTGAGATCACATAGAGGTAAACACTGAAGCCACAATATAAAAACAAATTTTAAAAGTTTTCAAGGAAGTATAGAGAAAGAATAGAAGCCCAAGGCCCCACTCTTGGAAACTGCCATATGTCTATTTCAGAATGAAAAAGAACAGACCCAAAAAAGGGGAGAAAAATAAGGCTGATAACTATTTGGACAGCTAGGCTAGTACCATGCAACAGAAGCCAAGGGAAGAAGTTTTCTCTCAGCAAAGGTTTCTATGTGGTATCATCTGAAACAGAATGGTGATGTCAGTAACAAAGCACAATGCAGAAGCTACACAAGTGAGTTCAGAAAGATTCTGTAGAGCCCAAATCTTTCACCAGCTGGGCTAAAGTTCACTCAGCAAGATCTATGTAATGACTGATGGCAAGTATTCATGAACACTGTTGTCAGGGACCAAGCTGGTAGGATAGACACAGCACTTCTCTGGGATACAGCACTTACCTAGCTCATCCCAGAGCTGCCTGCACTTATCTGTCATGCTTGTTCCTTGCTGCCTCCAGAGTGTGAGTCGTGGGTCAGCCATAAACTGCTCAGTTATTAGTGTCAGCATCCTGGCTCCATTGGAATCTCTCATTCGCAGCATTTCTCGAACCTGACACATGAGGAAGGGTGAGGGGTTGGTGACTACACATAGTAAAAGAGTGGGATAAGAAGGAGAGGAGCAGGAGGAGAAGGTGAAGTATCTAAGCACAACATCTCTGAATGCCTTTAGAAGGCCTCTTGTGCTGTAAGCAAGTTTTCTGCACGTATTAAGAAAGCCTGCTGTGCACAACTGAGATACCGCTTCACACCCACTAGTATGGCTAGAATAAAAAGTCAGATAACAAGTATTGATGAGGATCCTCATACATGGGAATGTAAAAGGATGCAGCCACTTTGGAATCAGTCTATTTAGTTCCTCAAACAAGTAAACAGAGTTATCATATGACCAGTCAATTCCATATCCTAGAGGGAAATGAAAAGGTATGTCCACATAGAAACTTGTACAAGAACATTTCTAGCAGCATTATTTATAACTAGGGGCCAGGTGCATAAAATTTGTCTAGCCTGCACTCTCTCCAATCTTAGATTGCTCTCACAATCTGGGACTGCTGGCTCTCATCCACTCCCCTGCTTGCCAACCTGATCACCGCCTAACCACTCCCCTGCCAGCCTGATTGGTGCTTAACTGCTCCCCTGCCAGACCAGTTGCCCCCAACTGTCCCTCCCCTGCAGGCCTAGTCCCCCCAACTGCCCTCTCCTACAGGCCTGGTTACCACCCCCACAACCGCCCTTCCCTGCTGGCCCTGTCATCCCTAATTGCCCTCCCCTCATGGCCTGGTCTCCCCTAACTGCCCTGCCCTGCCGGCCTGGTCTCTCCCATCTGCCTCCCCCATCGGCCTGGTTGCCCCAAACCGCCCCCCCTGACGACCTGGTTGCCCCATGCAGCCTGCTGTTCAGTTATTACTGTGAGGGCGTTGTGACCAATTTGCATATTACTCTTATTAGTATAGATAGCCAAATGGTGAAAACAATCCAAATGGCCATCAATATGCAAATGGTAGACAAATGTGGAGTATCCATATGATGGAATATTATACTATCTAATGAAGAGGGAATATGCTAATTGATCATCATACCCTCACAAAGATGGTGGCACCCACAGCCAATAAGGAGGGAATATGCTAATTAACTGCCACACCCTCAAAGATGGCAGCACCCAGTCCCTTCAGTGCAGCCATCTCAAACACCAGGGCCTCCACTTGGGTCACCAGGGGGGCATGGCTGGCCTGCAAACCACCACAGGCCCCTCACCCGGGTCGCCCCACACCCCAAGGGAATCCCCACCCTGATCTGGGACACCCTTTAGGGCAAACCAGCCAGTCCCCACCCATGCACCAGGCCTCTATCCTATCTAATCCTATCTAATAAAAGAATAATATGCAAATTGACCATCACTCCAACACACAAGATGGCTGCCCCCTTGTGGTCAAAGATGACTGCCCCCATGTAGACACAAGATGGCTGCTACAGATGGCCAGCAGGGGATGAAGTTGGGAGGGATCAGGTCTGCAGGGGAGGGCAGTTGGGGGCAATCAAGCCTGCAGGGGAGGGAAGTTAGGGGTGACTAGGCCAGCAGAGGAGGGAAGTTGGGGGCGACTGGGCCTGCAGGGAAGGGCAGTTGGGGAGAACCCAGGCCTGCAGAGGAGGGCAGTTAGGGGTGACCAAGCCTGTAGGGGAGGGCAGTTAGGCATCAATCAGGCTGGCAGGGGAGGTGTTAGTGGGGGATCAGGCTGGCAGGCAGAAGTGGTTAGGGGCAATTAGGAAGGCAGGCAGGCGAGCAGTTAGGAGTCAACAGTACTGGATTGTGAGAGGGATGTCCGACTGCCTATTTAGGCCCGATCCTACAGTAGGATTGGACCTAAATGGGCAGTGGGACATCCCTTGAAGGATCCCAGATTGGAGAGGGTGCAGGCTGGGCTGAGGGACACCCCCCCCATGCATGAATTTCATGTATTGGCCTCTAGTCTATATATAAAAGGGTAAGGGATTGACCATCCATCTGACCAAACGACACATATGACGTGCAGTGGTAATCTCTCTATATAAAAGCATAAGCAGCTGTCCGATCATTCGACCCGTAGCTATAACCCGCAATGACCACCAGGGGGCAGATGCTCTGACAAGTAGCTAAAGGCACAATGACCACCATGGGGCAGACGCTCAATGCAGGAGCTGCCAAGTGACAGCAACTTTGCAGAGTGCCCTCTGACACTCTGGGACCACTCAGGGGATGTTAGACTTCTGGTTTTGGTTTGATCCCCACAGGCCAGGCCTAGGGATTCCACCTACTGGAGGGATCCTGCTCACTCCACAGATGCCCTTCGAGCCCCAGTGCTGCCCCAGGTACAGCAGGCTGGGAAGGGTCCGCGGAAGGTTGGCTCCAGGGTGTGTCCAGCCCATCTTGCCCAGTCCTGTCCCACAGGCCACCTTCTAATTAATTTCCTTTCAATATGCACGAATCTGTGCACCAGACCTCTGGTTTGGCCATAAAAAGGAACGAAATACTGATACATGCTATTAATGCAGATGACTGTTAAATATTATGCTAAGTGAAGGAAGCCAGTCACAAAAGACTACATATTGTATGATTCCATTCCTACTAAGGTTCAGAGTAGGAACATCTGTACACAAAGTGTAGATTAGTGGTTACTCAGGGCTAGGGGAGGAGATATGCAGGATAGGGGAATGATAACTAAAGGGTATGGGGTTTCTTATTAAGGTGAGAAAAATGTTCTAAAGTTGATTGTGGTGATGAGTGCACATATCTGAAAAGTCTAAAAATCACTGAATTACACACTTTAAAATGGGTGAATTTTTAAAATGTATTTTAGAGAGGAAGGGGGAGTGATAGAGACAAACATCAATCACTGCTTCCTACATGTCCCCTACCTGGGATTGAGTTTGCAACCCAGGATTGTGCCCTGACCAGGATTTTAACTTTGATTTCCTGGTTCATGGAAGTGACACTCAACTACTGAGCCATACCGACTGGACTAAAATTGATGAATATTGTGGTATGTAAATTATATTTCACTAAATGTGTTTTTAAAAACAGGGCAAGAACCCCCTGACAATGGGCAAAGAGACACCTGATTGGTGGGGTTGCTCTTATATCAATCAGGGGCAAAGCAGATGTACAGTCCTTAGTTCATTCTAACTTGATGCCTATATCAGTGACCAGAGCTGATTCATGCCTGAGGTACATAAATAAAATAAAGTAAAAACAGGGCAAGAAAGCCTGCTGTGAGAGTTCTCACCACCAAAAATCTCTTCAAGGCCTCATCAGACAATTAAAAAAATATATTTTATTGATTTTTACAGAGAGGAAGGGAAAGGGATAGAGAGCTAGAAACATTGATGAGAGAGAAACATGAATCAGCTGCCTCCTGGACATCCCCTCCTGGGGATGTGCCCACAACCAAGGTACATACCCTTATTGGAATTGAACCTGGGATCCTTGAATCCACAGGCCGACGCTCTATCCACTGAGCCAAATCAGTTAGGGCTCATCGGACAGTCTTGAGTTCAAATCTTCATTACTAAAACCCCCAGCAATGCTAATTCATTTAGAGAGTGGAGCAGAAGGAAAAGGACCACAAGGGTGAGGTAATAGGGTTCCCTGGATGCAACCTGCTCAAGTCTGCTCTGATCAACCTCTCCCAATAGTTTTCAAGCATTTGATACAGTTAAACATGCATGAAGCCTAACGGGTGGTAAGAGAAGGTGGGGGTGGGTGGGTAAGCAGAGATTAACCAAAGAACTTGTATGCTTATAGGTATAGGCATAACCTATGGACACAGATAGTAGTGTGGTAAAGGCCTGGGGTAGTGGATGGGGAAGGCTAGAAGGGGTGGATATGGAAAAAAGGGAACATCTTTAAAACTTTCAACAATAAAGTTTTTTTTAAAGTAACAAAACAAACAAAAACCCATTTTTATATCTTACCTTGGCAAACATTGAATTGAGCTGCTTCCCAGAGCCATAGTAACAACCCTGGGAGAGGAAGAGCTTCACTTGTTCTTTCACCTGTTCTTCATCCAAATGCCAACAGTTCTCATCATCAATGCTGGCTCCAGCAGTGGGGTCAGGAGCACCTGTGAGAAATGGGAATCATGAAATGAATTCCATGAATTCATATGCTTCACATTTAGCAGGAGTGGAAGTTGGTGAGTGTATTCAAAAACATTTGCAGATGACATAATAACATATATAGGAAACCCTATACTTTTTATAAATTTATACTCAAAGTATCATCCATATCTTGGTTCACCTCAAGACCACCAATTAAAACACAGTTTTAGCTATTTACACATCCCTTTCCCCTAGTAGCCTTTTAGCTCATTGCTCACAGTTGAATTCCAAGTTAAATCCATGGTTAAATCACATATGGCACAGTGCTGGTAATGTGATAAGACACCCAGTGAATGTTTGTGGCATGAAAATGGAATCTTATCTCACTTTCTCAAAGACAGAGTCTCGTAATAGATTTTAAGAAACCTGCCTCCAAGTGACAATAGATTGTAAGTCAATTCTTATATAGGTATGGTCACACAAAGGTTACAAATTTAAGTCATATTTAATCATTTTTCTTTTTCTCTATATTTAAGCCCTGCTTAAATAAAATCCAGTTCTGCACAGCAAAGCTTTTCTGGTGCATCTTATTCCCTAGGGATCAGGAGGGCTCACACATTCATTTAGTCCACAAATACTAATTAACACATATGATTTTCCAGTTTATAGTAGGGTAGTCCCTCCTTATCCATTAGGTATACACTCCAAGACCACCAGTGGATGTCTGAAACCACAGTTAGTACTGAACCCGATATATATACAATATTTTTTTCTTATACATACAAACCTATGATAAAGTTTAATTTAAAAATCAGGCACAGTGAAAGGTTAGCAATAATAACTAATAATAAAATAGAATAATTATAACAATATACTGTAATAAAAGTTATGTTATTGTATTGTACTCACCTTTTCACTTAAAGGAAGCACTTTACAACTTTTCTTTGGTATATCCAAATTGCCAACATCACTACTCTTGTGCTTTGGGGCCATTACTAAATAAAATAAGGGTTACTTGAACACAAGTACTGTGGTACCAGGGCAGTTGTGATAACCAGGATGGCTAATAAGTGGCTAACAGGTGAGTAGTGTATACAGTACCGATATGCTGGACAAAGGCATGATTCATGTCCTGGGTGGGACAGAGCAGTACAGAGTGAGATTTTATTACACTGCTCAGAATTGTGTGTAAATTAAAACTTATGAATTGTTTGTTTCTGGAATTTCCACATCAATATTTCAAGACTGTGTTTGACTACGAATAATTGAAACCACAGAAAATGAAGCTGCTGATAAGGAAGGACTATGATATCCATTATTTGCTATTTTTCTTCAAATGTATTATTCTAACCAAAGTTCTGATCATAACACTTCCCTGCTCAAAAGTTTTCATGATGATTCAGATTCTTACTAAATTAAGCCCAGATGCCTTAGAGTTTGGCATTCAAGGCCCTCCATGCACAGGTCCCATTTTTCATTTCTAGCACTGTCTTCCCTATACTTATGCTTTGTTCCAGCTGGAAACTTAGTATTCCCAGAAGTCAACATTTCCTTATGATTTTAGTTATGCTTTTCTCTTTACTTCCCTCCTTCTCTCCCCACCCTGTTCTTTGGCTAAAAATAATGCTTCTCATTGTGAGTATTTCTTCAGATCAGGGCCACAATGAGAAATAGAAACCATAAAATAAGTACACAGAGAGGCTAATGCTGCCAAGTTTCATGTACCGCTTAGTTCACTTGGCAAGAGGGACTCTTTTTTTTTACCCCCTTTCTGAATTAGACATATACCTCATTGCCACTTGTCAAAGCATGTATGTACAAATAAAAGCAGTAACACTTTTCTGAGCACTTTATTATTATTTCTCTGTAAGACCTGTTGTATTTCATTTTACATTGAAATTTTAAATTTTCATATATTTCCAACTAAATTAAGGTTAAGTGATTATAATTTCAAAAATATCCCAACCTCTAAACATAAAATAAAGCAACTAAGTAGGTTTTTAGCAACAAAAAGTATTGGACAATTACCATTCACTTGGTTGATTTCTGAGTTGGAGGATAGAATCTCATCTGCCAGTTTCTGTGCAGTAGGAAGAACTTCAGTGTGGTGTGCTGTGATCAAATATTGAATAAACTTTTGTAGCTGGTCCCTATTCATCTGGAAAAGGGTTTCTGAGATAGGAAGACGCAATTTGACTTGGTCTGGTTTACGGATCCTGTAGAGTGAGAGTGCTACCACATGAGCACAGTAGAATATGTCCTTGTTGCCACAGCCACATGTCACTGAAGTGATTTTGCATCGATCAAAACTGATTGCAACTTTGTAAGTCATTGCTGGTTCAGAAGTAGTGGCTGGCTCAGTCACTGTGCCACTGAGATGGAAGCCTAAGGAAACAAAAGAAAGTGTGTTTAGAAATTCTGTAGTAAGAAACTTGAAGATTTTCATCTTGCATTTTAATTAATCAATTCAGATACTATTTGCTAAGTATCTCCTATATATATGCTAGGCCCTGCCAAAGATAAGTCAATGCAACAAGGGTATTGCTTTTCAGGAACTCACAATCTAAAAGAAGTAAGGGGTGTGCAGGAGGCAGCTGATCGATGTTTCTCTCTCTCTAACTCTCCCTTCCTCTTTGTAAAAAATCAATAATAATAATTTTAAAAGTACAAATTGGATGTTACAGAATAGTCATGTGGATATAAATTCACCATATGAAATATGGTCAATAAATCTATATAATAAAACCCTAATATGCAAATCAACTGAACTGCAGAACAACAGGCAGAATGAATGGTCACTATGATGCATACTGACCACTAGGGGGCAGATGCTCAATGCAGGAGCTTCCCCCTAACAGTCAGTGTGCTCCCACAGTGGGAGCACTGGTCAGCCAGAAGCTGGGTTCACAGCTGGCGAGTGCAGCAGTGGTGGTGGTGGCCTCTCCTGCCTTCACTGCAGGTGGAAGGTAAGGAGTGAAGGATTCCAGACTCGAGAGCCCTGGACAGCAAGAAGGATGTTTGACTGTGGGGTGGAGGCTAAGGAGTGATGGGTCCTGGACTGTGAGAGGGCACAGACCGAACTGAGGGACACCCCCCCCACACACAGTGTATGAATTTTGTGTACTGGGCCTCTAGTATTCTAATAACTATGTATAGTGTCAGATTGGTTAGAGACTTATTGGAATTGATCACTTAGTAAGTTATATAATGTCTGCCGAAACTGGTTTGGCTCAGTGGATAGAGCGTCGGCCTAAGGACTCAAGGGTCCCAGGTTTGATTCCGGTCAAGGGCATGTACCTTGGTTGCAGGCACATCCCCAGTAGGGGGTGTGCAGGAGGCAGCTGGTCAATGATTCTCTCTCATCGATGTTTCTAACTCTCTATCCCTCTCTCTCTTCCTCTCTGTAAAAAATCAATAATATATATATACATTTATATGTATATATACATATAAATGTATATATATATAAGTTATATAATGTCTGATCACTGGGGTGTACACTTGAAACTAATATTATATGTCAACTGTAATTGAAAAATAAAAAATTATTTAACAAATAAAATCCCACAGCCTATAAACAATTAGAATTGGGATATGAACACAGGTAGTTTGGCTCCAGAGCCTTCATTCTTAATTATTACGATATATTGAATATGACTATGCAGTTTAAATTATGTATATAAACTTTATAAAAGTAATTAGCAAGTACAATTCTACAAAAAATGCACTAATGACAAGTCTGTAAACTCTGGTGTTTGCCTGATTTCCTGGGTAATTGTTCAAGGCAACTGAAACTGACTGCTCTGTGATGCTCTCGCAGTTGGAATGACAGGCTCATGAACTCATCCGTACAAGACAATGTCTCAGCATAATGAGTGAATCATCTGTTGAGAGTTCTAAAGGAAAGCACTTCTCAGTACAGCCCTCTGACACTATTCAATCTTTTGTGTTTCTGAGTGCAAGAAAGGCACTAGTAAAGCTTGGGCAATTAAAACCACTTTGCTCATTGCTCTTTTGATTCACCAGACCCAGGAGCAGGTGCTAATGCATGAAAATGAATATAATTTCAGCCAGTGGCAGGGAAAGGAGAGCTGTGGTTTATAGAAAGAATTATTTTTCCTATAGTCGGTTTAAGAATATATTGTGTGTGTGTGTGTGTGTGTGTGTGTGTGTGTGTGTGTGTACACACTATATATAAACTGGGTAACTCTTTTGAATGAGTATGTTTTCCTCTTGAATACATTTGGTTTTGATGATATTGTATTATGTAAATTAGACTTTCTCACTTAATTTCTGTCTCCTGGCAGGCCACAACAGTATACCAGAAGTCACTCTTTTTCCTTTCTGTCACCTAGCAAAATGGTAGCCACACAAAGGAATAAACAGTGATAGTGACATCCTCAAAATAACTACTTGCCTTTCCAGAAAGCCTATTCAAAAGCTAGATAAGTACTCCCTAAATAAGAGCACTGGAATGGCTCTGTGGACTCATACTATGATATAAAGAACCGAGGAATCAGGGTGCTTGAATTCTAATTCCAGTATACCTCAATTCCTCTTTGCCTTCGTTTCTTAATTATGAAAAAGACACAATAATACTTATATACCTATCAGAATCATGTGAAAGTAATTTGTAAAGAACACATTTCCCAGAGATATCATTCAACAGCAATCCCAACTGGCCAGGGCCAGCACCTATATCAGTTCACAGGAAGCAGATGGTGCCCACAGTACTGGGTGTGAGTAAGAGAGATTGCAGTGCGGAATAGTATTGTTATTTGGGAATACAAATGATGCTGCCCCATTACCCTGGGAGCCACTTGGTTTGTTTGTATTAGAGAGGTCACCCTAAGCTTCTCAGAGCAGCTGAGTAAGCTGGAGGGCCTACTTCTAGTGGCCATCTGCTCCCCTCCCAGACTCCTCTAGCAAATCAAGAGGTTTTCCTTGTATTAACCTCTGGCCCTTCTCAAGCACCAGCTTCTGCAAGCAATGGTCTCCACTCTCCATCTGTGCCAGCAACCAGTTAAAGAACAATGAAGCTTCCCAAGCCCAGGCATTCACTTACAGAGATGCCCCTGCATTACCTATTTTCCAGTACTCTTTCACTTGGATCTCTAAAAAGGGAGTAGGTATGTAGTTTAAAAGACAGAGTTATTTTAGAAACATTTTATGTAAAAAAACAAAATGGGAAGAATTTGTCTGGGAGATTAATGAAAAAAATCTAACATGCATAAAACAATCACTTAAAAATAGCAATTTTATTTCCACACACACCCCCCCCCCCAACTACTCTGTGAAGCATTAGGACTTAGAGAACAAGTTCTCTTGTATATTGGTGGGTAACCAAACTATTCTAGAACTGCAGATCGGATACCTGCTCCTTAGTTCACCGATTTAAACATAGATTGGGGGAAAATACCACCCTCTTTAGGCAGTTCTCTACAGAAACAATGTGCACATATACAAGGTACACATGTTGCCAAAATGGATGTTATAGGCTAGTAATTACCACATGGACTATTGATTTAAAAAAAGGGCAACATATAATTGTAAAATGATTTCAGAAATTACCCTATTCCATTCAGTAGCCTACATTACTGGGAGGAAATTAAAAATTGAATAATAAACTGCTTTTCAAAAGGAAGATGATACATATAGATATTTTTATCAAACATAATATTAACTGATCAAATATTTATTTTTGAGAGTCTTCAAAATAGTATTCAGATTTATTTTAAAGCATTAAAAAATTACCCAGAGAATGCATTCTGGTGCAACCATTGCGAGAAACAGTATGGAATTTCCTCAAAAAATTAACTATGGATTTACCATTTGAACCAGTGGTTCCACTTCTAGGAATATATCCTAAGAAACCTGAAGCACCAATCAGAAAGAATGTATGCACCCCTATGTTCATAGCAGCACAATTTACAATGGCTAAGATCTGGAAATATCCCAAGTGCCCATCAGGAGATGAGTGGATAAAAAAGCTGTTATATTTATACCATGGATACTATGCAACAGTAAAAAAGAAGAACCTCTTACCCTTTGAGACAGCATGGAGGGACCTGGAAAGTATCATGCTAAGTGAAATAAGTCAGTCAGAGAAAGACAAGTATTACGTGATTGCACTCATATGTGGGATATAAATAACAAAAGAAACTGATGAATAGAGTGGATCCAGAGACATGGAAGCATGGAACAGAGTGCGGAATCTCAGAGGGAAGATGGGGGAGGGTGGGTGGGTGGGAGGTAAACAACCAAAAACCTTGAATGCATATGAGTATATACATAATCCATGGACCTAGACAATAGGGTGCTGAAGGTCTGGGGCAAAGGGTGGGAGGGGGAGCTGGAGGGAGTCAATGGGGGAAAAAGGGGTATATATAATATTTTCAACAATTAAGAATGATTAATAAATAAGTAAATTTTAGAATCAGCCTTAAAAAATCAATGAAAAATATATCTTCGGGGGGGGAGGGGGGAAGATATCCTCGGGTGACTCACCTCTCTCCCTCTCTCTCCTTCTCCCTCCTACTGTTTCAAAAAATCAATGGGAAATATATCATTGGATGAGGAGTAACAACAATAAATATCATATGATCCTATCAATACATGCAGAAAAACCACCTGTCAAAATCCAACATCCATTATGACCCAAACTCTCAGCAAAATGGGAGTAGAGGGAACACACCTCAACATAATAAAAGCCAATATGTATGACAAACTCACAGCTAACATCATCCTCAATGAGGAAAAGCTGAAAATACTTTCCTTAAGACAGGGAAGTCTGCTTTGCAAGTCCAAGACACAATAATCAGACAAGAAAAATAAATAAAAGGCAAATAAATTGGAAAGATTAAAACCGTCATTAATTGCAGATGACATGGTACTATATATAAAAACTCTAAAGATTCTACCAAGAAACTATTAGAACTAAAACAATGAATTCAGTAAAATAGCAGGATACAAAATTAATACAATATTCAGAAATTAGTTGCTTTTTTAAAAAAAATCATCACCGAGGATATTTTTTAAAAAATCAATCTTTATTGTTCAGATTATTACAATTGTTTCTCTTCCCCCCTCGCCCCCATAGTTCCCCTCTACCTGGTTTCCACACCATCATCTGCCCTTACCCCTCCCCACTGTCCTCATTCATAGGTGTACGATTTTTGTTCAGTATCTTCCCATACTCCCCACACCCCTATCCCCCCAAGAATTGTCAGTCCACTCCCTTTCTATGCCCCTGATTCTATTATATTCACCAGATTTTTTATTCACTTGATTTTTAGATTCACTTGTTGACAGATATGTATTTGTTCTTCGTGATTTTTATCTTTACCATTTTCTTCTTCTTCCTCTTCTTAAAGAATACCTTTCAG